CTGGGCGCTCTCTGGAGTCCTATGCTCTTAGACGTCGTAACCTCCCAGCCTTCATGTACCTGGAAGTCTCTCTTCTAATCACACCAACCTCCAAGACAAGCTGAGAAAGAGGAAGCGAGGCCGGAAGACTCTGCAGCAAAAATAGAGCCGAGGGTCCAGGCCCCGGGCCACGTGGCGCTCCTCCCGGGAGAGATCTCGGGCGCACACTCAGACAGGTGCAGCTCTGCTGAGAGGCTGCCCGGGGCCAGCAGGGCTGGGCGCATCACCACATGGACACGTGCCATGTCCATGCGCTGAATGTGGCTCAGCGAGATTCTCACCCTGCAGGCCTCAGATTCGGCAAGGAGCAGGCTTCCCCGAGAACCGAGTGATGCCTGCCACGGTGCTGAATGGAGACGGGAGGAGGCCAGTGCAGCCTAGACCTCGGGGTCTGAGGAAGACTCCGTGTCCCAGAGGACCAAGCATCCCGGCGCAGGCACACTCCTCGCTTCTGTTTGTTTGGAGGGTGGAGTGAGCGGATCTGAAGGAGGAAATGGTGTGAGGGAAGCAGGTGGAGCAGCTGGCGCGAGAAGGTTCATGAACAGCAGAAGCTGCAGGGGCTGGTGTGGCAGCCATCTGTGTCCGGGGACAGCAGGTCACTGTGGCCCAGTCACAGCAAGAGGCCCCAGTGCACAGGGAGGCTGCTCAGGTTACCTTGCGTCTGGTGTGGGCAGCAGCTGGCAGCCCCTGCCCCTCTGGTATGCGCCCTGATCCCACTACTGCGTCCAGGCTCTGTTCTCAGCTCCTTGGCGCTCGGCACTCACGGAGCCTCCCAGCTGAGTGAGCAACAGCTTCCAGGAATAAGCTGAGCCCTTCTAGCTCCTTCCTGCTCAGGGGTTCCTGCCCAGCAGCCATCCCAAGGTGGTGTGGATGGCAAGGTCTCATCTGTCACACCTGCTTGGCCCATGGTCTTCCAGGAGGTGTGCACCAACACAGCGCACCTGCGGGCAGAAGGCCTGAGCCCAGGGATCCCTTGTGCCGGGATGGACTTGCTGCTGCTGTGCCCGCCCAGCTGCGGGCCCTGCCTGTCCTAGGCTGCAGCGGTGTTGCCTGCCGGGAACAGTGGTGGTTCTGTGGTCGGTGTCCTGACTCATTTCTGTAGCAGCTCTCTAAGTCAGCTCGGCTCTTCCCGCAAGGCGTGCGGGCAGCGGTGAGGAGGCACGAGGCTCACACACATCCTCTCTCTGACTTACCCAGGGCCTCCTGTCTGCCTGGAAGCTCCCACCCTGCCCGGGAAGACTGTTGGCTTTCAGCTTTTTTTTTGTTTTGTTTTGTTTTTTGCTGGTGTGCCAGCAGGCATGTCAGCCCATGTGAGCAACACTGGACATAGAGATATATGGCTAGACAGGGAGCAAGTCATTCTCTTTTGGCCTTCTCAGTTTGTGTCTGTGCAGATTCTGAGAAATCGGTTGAAGCTGCAACATGTGCATGCCCGTGTCGAGACACATGACCTGCTAGGGTGCTGCCCATTCCCGCTGACCCAGGGTGGGCTCCGGAGAGGACAGGATGTGCGCGGAGAGGCACCCTGGGCCCCGTGCTTTCTCTCTGGATTTGTAGAGTGGATGGACGTTCTGCCTTCCCAGAACCCTCACCCTGCTGGCTAACCATTCTTCCAGAAGAGCCTGCCATGCCCTCAGGGAGCAGGTTGCTGGTGTTTTTAAAAAGTTTGAGCAAGGGGCTGGCATTACAATGCAGTTCTTTGAGCCGGCACCTGCAAGGTCACCATCTTATAGGAGCACCGATTTAGTCCCCAGGTGGACCACAGCCAACTCCTTAGGACCGGCTCGCTGTGCCAGCCCACTGCAGGCCCTTGTGGGGTCTCTGGCTCCCTTTTTGGTGTTCCCCAGGATCTCCATGCCTCTGTCCTCTGAAGATGCAGGTGAAGTCAAAGCCGGCCAGTGCCTTTGCCGGGTGGCGATGGTTTGCCTGCCAACTCCCCAGGGCTGCAAAAGCTCATCGACCATGCTGCCTCCACAACTCTGCCTTCTTGGGAGTCTCATGGTAGAGTTAAAAGTCTGTGGCGTAGGCTGTCCACCCGCCAAAGGCTTAATTGGATGGTCACTGCCGGGCACCACAGAGGCTCTGGGCTCCTGGTGCTCACTTGCCTGCCCAGCGCGTGTCCTCCATGTCCCCTTGGGACTCACTCACCTGACCAGCACGTGTCCTCCATGTCCCCTCTGGGCTCACCTGTGTGCCCAGCACGTGTCCTCCGTGTCCCCTCCGGGCTCACCTGCCCAGCACGTGTCCTCCATGTCCCCTCTGGACTCACCTGTGTGCCCAGCGCGTGTCCTCCGTGTCCCCTCCGGGCTCACCTGCCCAGCACGTGTCTTCTGTGTCCCCTCTGGGCTCACCTGCCCAGCACGTGTCCTCCGTGTCCCCTCCGGGCTCACCTGCCCAGCACGTGTCCTCCATGTCCCCTCTGGACTCACCTGTGTGCCCAGCGCGTGTCCTCCATGTCCCCTCCGGGCTCACCTGCCCAGCACGTGTCCTCCGTGTCCCCTCTGGGCTCACCTGTGTGCCCAGCACGTGTCCTCCGTGTCCCCTCCGGGCTCACCTGCCCAGCGCGTGTCCTCCATGTCCCCTCTGGGCTCACCTGCTTCTCCAGCTTTGAGCCAGGTGTTCCCACCCGGCTAACCTGCACCTGTCCAGAGAGGAGCACTGGCATCCTTGGGATGCCATCTTCCTGACTAAGTTGGAGACTGCTCTGGATCCCACTTCCTGCCCATGCTTGTCCCCAGGTGCAGCCACTTTGGGGCCAGCACACACGGCTGTGGCTCTGGCTCCTTGGCGTTAGGTGCACGAGTTCAAGGGAGCAGCTTTCTCTCAGTGAGATTTGACTTTCTTAGCTGTCATTGGATGACCCTGGCCAGGCTGACCCTGCCCTGGTCCTGGGAGGACCAGCAAGAGGCTGAGTGACATAGCAGGCACGGATGGAGACCCAGGAGACCTCACAGAGCCCCCGCCCCGTGGGCCTCACGGAGCCCCTCCACCTGGAGCCTTTGGAGGGCACACAGGGTCTTGGTGTTCGTGCTGGACTGCTGGCTCCAGAGTGTGCTTGACCGCAGCTGTGTGTGTTCCCTGGGGCATAAAGCGAGGGACCTCCTTCTGTGTCCCACTGTCGGCTCGGTGCAGCCCCCGAATCACCAAGGTGGACCGCCTGTGGGGCGCTCAGTGAGCGGAGGGCCCCAACCTGCAGTCTGGCAGATGCTTGCAAAAACCCCAGGGTAATGCCTCCCGTCAGATGTGCTGTGTTGCTCCTGGGGCTCTGCTGACATCATGTGTAAGTTGCCTCTTTACTGTGACATAGAGGAAACCGTAGGCTGGGAGCACTCGGGCCAGACCCCAACCGCACTGAGCTCACATCTCTGCAGCAGCGTTGCCGTGCGTCCCGGGGGTGGCCCGGGCACGGTGCTGCCGGCCCCTGCTGCCCGCTCTTACCGTCTGTTCACTCATACAAGGAGCAGCACCCCCTTAGTGTCCCCTCCCCTCCCTGCTGTGGCCGGTGTCCCCAGACCCTCAGGAGAAGGGACTGCCTTTGCAGCCTGGGGTGAACTGACGGGTCTGAGCGCCCCGCTGTTGGAGCCCTAACACCCACTGTCCTCACAGCTGGGCTTTGCACTGAACCAGCTGCCAGAACCTCCACTTGTCCTCCTCCTTCTGCCATCCCTGCTGCTCTCCCACGCTCCTTGGCAGGGAGCTGGATTGGAAGTGGAACGGCCTAGTCTTGAACCGGCACCCCCTGGGATGCAGACATGACCAGTGGCAGCTTCACCCACGGCACCACAGCGCCAGCCCCGATGCACTTTCCGCTTTGTCGTCAGCCGCCAGAAGGGAAGCAGTTCCTGGAGAGCATGAGGTTGTGTCCTGCGGCACTTGCTGTTTCTTCTTTTTAAGATTCACTTATTGCAGAGTCAGAGTTTCATTGAGACAGGGAGAGAGAGATCTTGCATCCACGGTCCATCTTCCAGATGGCCACAGTGGCCAGGGCAAGAAGCAGGAGTTCTTCCTGGTCTCCCCAGCACTGGGTCCTTCCCTGCTCCCTCCCAGACCACAGGCAGGGAGCTGGACCAGAAGCAGAGCAGCAGGGACGCAGCATGGCACACAGCAGTTTCAGCTGCCATGCCACAGCATCAGCGCTGGACTTCTGTTGTTCCTTGCGCTGTCCTGGTCAGCAGGCAGGTTTCAGTGTGAGGAAGGCTTGCTCTCCAAGTGAGGGTCCCCCGGAGAGAGGCGAGAGGAGGCCAGGTCTCCCAGGATGTGTATACTGCGCTGCGGACTTCATGCTGAGATGGGGGCAGGGGATCCCTGGCCCCAAGAGCAGGGGCACAGTGCGGGTGGAGACGGCCCTGTCCCCTCACTTCCCCTGGCCAGAGAGGGCAGATGGAAGAGGCCACTCCTGAGGAGGCTTCTCCTTCCCCTTGCCTCTTGGTGGTCGGTCCGTCCATGCCATGAATGTCCAGGCCAGGGCAGACGTGTCCATGGTCCACGCTCAGCATGCCGCTTCTGTCTGGTGTTGGTTAGCAGCATGCAGCAAAGCCGCAGCTGCCTTCTGCCCTTCCCTGTCCCTGGGCAGGCCATGCACAGGGCTGAGGATGTGGGGGGAGGCATGACCTCGTCCCCTCATGTGGAAGGCCCTGTCAGTGAGAGAGGGACAGTACAGGAAGGACAAGGCCACGTGCCCTGGGCACATGCTCCTGGTGCCCCCGACTGCCAGGAAGCAACAGAGGCGTCATCGTTGAGGCTGAGGGAGAAGGATGGCCTCCCCGCGCTGCCCGCCCTGTGGGCAGTGCTGGCAGGAAGGGGCACTGGGCTCCCCACTGCAGGGCTCCTTCCTGGAGCAGTAGGGCTGGGTCCCACAGGCCTCGGGGTAGGAAGGGGCGGGGAGATTTGTACCTACAGAGCAGCCTAGGGACCCCGGCGCTGGAGCCCTGTAATCCAGGCACTGCCCAGGTCTGCCACCCAACAGAGCAGGTAGCCTTGGGACTGGGACACGAGCTGGGCGATGGGCAGCAGCAGGTTCCGCCAAGGGCTCGCTCTTGTCCACCAAATCATAGCGGCAGCGCCAGGCTGCACTGGGCTCAGGGATAGACAGGTTCATCAGGGTTCTCAGAGCAGTGGGAGCTGTGGATGGTCCCGCATGGTCAGGCCTGCTGTTGCACACCGGGTCGGTCCAGGCCTGCTTGTGGCACCGGCTGCATCTCTTTGCTGGACACCCTGTCGTGATCCCTGATGCTGGCTCCCAGCCCCAGATGGCAATGGCTGTGACTCCGGACTCCCTTTGCTCTCTGGGTTCAACCACATGGACACCCACACCTGAGTCTTCAGGCACCCTAGTCATGGCTTTCCTGCCTCAGCTGAGCAGCTGAGGGTGGGGTGCATGGGGTGCCCAGCATCACGGTAGCTCCGGGCTCTGCTCCCAGCCCTTTCCATGGACTCCCGGGCCTGTCCAGCTGAGAGCGGGACTCATGGGGTCCCCAGTGTCTCTGGAGCCCCAGGCTCTGCTCCCAGTCCTGCCCATGGGCTCCCGGGCTTGTCCAGCAGGCTCCTGGGGGACCATCAGGCTGGGGGCGGCCCCCGGCCTCGGCCTGCTGACCCTCTTCTCAGGGATCGTTTTATCACCAACAGGATGTACATGGTTAACCATTGGCGTTTGGGCAGATAGGCGTAACTTTGAAATAGGAAGTGGTAACTCAGTAAGTAGCCTGCTTTTGCAGGCCCTAGCCTCACAGGATTCTGTGAACGCCTGTCAGAGATTGTGTCTGACTGATGGGCTGGCCACCCCACTGGGGCTGTGGGGGACAGTCACCTGGGACCGCAGCACTTCCGAAGGTAAGTGAGGCTGCTCTTGCCACACCTGGCTCCCTTCTTTGGCCCGGAGCCAGACGGGAGCGTCAGGGGTGGGGCAGTTTCCTGGTCAGCATTCCCAGGGGCCAGCCGGCAGCATGTTCACACCTAGGACGGGTCTTCGCCCTCCTGCACCCAAAGTCCTGTTGTTTTCGGCCCCTCCTTCCCCTCAGGGTGTGCTGGCCCGGTAGCATGGCTGGTAGCATGCTGGCATGGCTGGCCGCTGCTGTGGGCTGCAGGCTGGAGAAAACCACGCTTCTTTGAGTGCGTGCACAGGTTGACTGCGACAGATCTGGCCGGGAGGTGTTTGGAAGGCAGCAAGCGATGCGTGCACACAGGACACCGGGTCGGAGGCCGGAGTGGGGCCGACTGGAGGGCGGTGAGGGCAGGGGATGGCAGGGAAGCTCGGCTCTGGCCTGGGCAGGCTCCGATGGCAGCCGCAGCTGCCGTCCTGAAGCTGGCCTCGGCCACAGCAGCATGTCTCCATGGGCAGAGCTGGCTGCCTCACAGCTGCGACCCCAGGGTTCCAGCCCGGGCGGGCACTGCGGGAATGCCAAGGACGCCATGGCTGCAAATACAAAAGAAGATGTGAAGTCTCGGAGAAGCAGAAGGAGCCGAGAAATGAGAAACCGTGAGGCAAATCACTGGAAAAAACCTGGCTCCCCGCGGCCGCCGGAAAGCGGAAGGAAGTAGCACACGTTCCACTGGGTGCCCGCAGGCCCGCGTGGGGCAGGCGCAGCGCTCAGGTCAGCGGGGCCTGGCGCAGCCACTCGAGCCGCTCTTCTTTTTAAAGCTTTATTTCATTGAAAGAGTTAGAGAGAGATTTTCCGTTTGCTGGTTCACTCCGCAAATGGCCACAAAGCCAGGGCTGGGACAGGATCCCGGAGCTTCACCAGGGTCTGCCACACGGGTGCAGGACCCCAGCTAGCTGGGTTGTCCTCCACTGCTTCCCAGGAAGGAAGGGTTATCCTCCACTGCTTAACAGGGAGCTGGACCACTAGTGGAGCCAGTGGGATTTGAACCAGAGATTACGCCATCGAATGAGGATTCCAGTGAGTTCTTCGGACAAAGTTGCCTGTTGGTGTCCTTGGCCAGGTCAGCCCTGGGCCAAGCCCCTCCTGCCTGCTCTGGGATCCCCCAGGGCTGCTCTGCCCCGCCCACTGCCGGATCTGCCCAGGACTGGCCACACTAGGCGGCTTTGGGCTGTTGCTCATCTGCTGGGGTCACCTCCATGGCTGGAGGACCCCGAAGCCTGCCAGGGAACCGCTGGCAGGTGCGTCAATGCCTGTGGGCTCCCTGCTTGGCCTCCCTGGCTCCTGGGGGCGATGGGTCTTCACAGGCCACTTACTGGGGTTCCTGCCGTCTCTGAATGAGTCAGTGCTTGCCACGCTGCGGGACACTTTCCTCTCTACTTACTAAGAACAGCTTCAGGAAGCCACAGGACTTTATTGGCTTACAATTACAAGTCAGCGCTTTTTTTTGTTTTGCTCTGAAAGCAGCACTTGCTTCTCCAAGGCAATGATGCAATCATCGGGACAATGAAAGTCAAGGTGTAGGTATGGCCTGGTGGGCAAGCCCCTGTTCCTCCCAGAAAGGAGCAGGGCCTTGCCACCCACCAGGGAGCCCTGCACTGATGCCCGGCTCCTGGACCCCGCTGGGCCCTCGTAGGCATCTGGAGGAGTGGACCTGTGGATGGGAGAGCCCTCTGGGTCGCAGATCAGAAAGCACCTTGGAAACCCCAAGTGGCCGCAGGTGCAGTGAGCTCACCTTCCGTCTCGGTGGATCCCAAGCCTTGTGTTTCAGTGTCAAGGGTGGCATGTTCCCACAGTGTCAAACCTGAAATGCCAAAGCCGCAGGAAGACCCAGGTCATCACAGTTCTCTCTGAAAGAGGAAGAGGACCGTTCACGGCTGCTTCTCACAACCGCCGACTTCTAGGTCTGCGATGTCCAGAGCAAGCAGAGAACCCGCAGGTGCGTGTGGGAGGCACCCACACTGCCGTTCCACGGGGCTGCTGCGGGACGAGACGCACCTGCTGCTGGGGCCGGGAGAGGGTCCCCGTGGCCGTGCTCGGCGCCCTCAGACAGCGATGCCTGCCCTGCTTCCTGCTGCGGGCACAGCACTGGCCCCAGGAGCCACTGCGCCTGGCTCCAGACAGGGAAGGAGGCCACTTGTCCCCCACATCAACACTTCCTAGCTGTGACTCTGAGCTGAGGGCTCCAGGGGAGGTGGGCTGCTTGGGGCCCTGACTGGAGGACAGGCCAGGCAGAGTGGAGCAGCCCTTCGCTTGTCCACCCTCGGCGTCTCTAGGACCCCTTCCAAATGCTGCTCTCGGCCCCCGGGGGCTGCCTCGCTCTGTAGGAACCGACCCCCCCCGTGGGGTAGAGTACAGACCAGATGGACATGAAGTGCCAGACCCCACAGCGACACCCGTGGTACTAACAGGGCTTCTCGACTGAGTCCTCCACGATGCCGGAGGCGGAGGCCCGTGCCAGGCCCGCCACGCCCTGGGTGGGGCACATGTGTCTGTGGGCAGCCCCTGGACACTGGCACCTACTGGCTGCGTGCTCTCCTGTGGTCCCTGTGCCCCTCACCCGCACTCCAGCGTGGACAGCGCCAGGAGCCTTCAGGCCTGTGGCTGCTCCGCCTAAAGCATGGCCCAGCCAGGGAGTGGCTGCCTCCCACGAGGGTCTATGGAGGGGAGAGCAAGGGGCGGCCCTGCAAGCTACTTGCTCTGAAAAATCCCACGATTCTAATCCTGGGAGGTCTGAGCCACCACCCAGCATCGCCCTGTGCACACGGGGAGGCCGACGCAGGACACGCAAGAGGGTCGGGCTGTCTCCCTGAGTCGAGGTCCAGATGTCACTCTGTAGCCCCCACGTGCTTCGGGAAAGGGGTGCCTGGAGCCTTTTTGGAGAGGAGTGGATGGCTCTGATCTGCCTGCCTCCCCTGGTTTGGGGCTGAACATCTGGCTCCAACCCGGGCCAGGTTTTCATCGCTGCGGCTGCTTTGTGTCCACTGCCTCCTGTGGTTGCGTCTTCCGTGGCTTGACTCAGCATCATGGACTGAGTCAGGCTGCTGCACCCTGGACTGCTGGCTTTGCTACCATGCCCAAACGTCAGCTGCTGACTGCCTTCCCCAGGCTGTGGCCCCTCAGTGCAGGTGTGTGGCTTGGCGACTATTGCCCCACGTGAAACTCCCGAAGCTCACAACTGGTCACCCCCACCCCCTGGCTCTGAGACTGGTACTGGTCTCCCTAGGCCAAAACCCACGGTGCTGGCAGAGCCCCAGGGGGCGGGGTCCATGCCCTGCTCGGTGGTCATGGGCAGAGCTGGCATGCCTGTTTTCCTGCTCCTTGGCAGGCACCGTGAAGCAGCCCACGCCGCATGGCCGGGCCCCTCTGCCTTCCACACTTGCAGGAATGAACGCACACTCCCTCTGTATCACTCCTGAGCCCAGCTGGGATTTGGTGGAGCACGCCGGGTGGGCCAGGCTAAAGCCCGGCTTGATGCCTTTCACTCGGCCCCTCCACCCGGCTCTCTGCCACGGGAGGGACACGCTCAGGTGGTGGACTTGTGCCAGGTCTGCTGTACTCCCTGCTGGCTTTGAGCTGGTTCCATCTGGAGTTTGTTGTGGGGATTCTTACGTCTCACGCAGTATGTCAGCAACATCCTCAGCCCAGGGAGAGGGTGGAGGCCTTGTCGTCTCATGCAGCGAGAAGCGCCTTCCCACTGTCAGCCCAGTGCCCAGAGGAGGTCTTCTCCCGGTGGAGCAACCCATGTGGGCAGCTGTCACCACCTCGAGCTGTCCCTACCACAAGCAAACCAGTTCCTCATCTCAATGACATCCAGATTTCAGATTGAGTCACGGGTCTACACTTCCTTAATTTGCTGAGATGTGACTGCATGGGAAGGGGGCCGGTGTGTATACCACATGAGCGAGCCCACGTGGCCCCAAGGGCCCAGCCCAACCTGGCTCTGTCCCTCCCCTGTGACACGCCCTGTGCCCAACCTGGCTCTGTCCTTCCACTGTTACATGCCCTGTGCCCAGCCCGGCTCTGACCCTCCTCTGTGACACGCCCTGTGCCCAGCCTGGCTCTGTCCCTCCCCTGTGACACGCCCTGTGCCCAACCTGGCTCTGTCCTTCCACTGTGACATGCCCTGTGCCCAGCCCGGCTCTGACCCTCCTCTGTGACACGCCCTGTGCCCAGCCTGGCTCTGTCCCTCCCCTGTGACATGCCCTGTGCCCAACCTGGCTCTGTCCCTCCCCTGTGACATGCCCTGTGCCCAACCTGGCTCTGTCCCTCCCCTGTGACATGCCCTGTGCCCAACCTGGCTCTGTCCTTCCACTGTGACATGCCCTGTGCCCAGCCTGGCTCTGTCCCTCCCCTGTGACACGCCCTGTGCCCAACCTGGCTCTGTCCCTCCCCTGTGACACGCCCTGTGCCCAACCTGGCTCTGTCCCTCCCCCGTGACATGCCCTGTGCCCAGCCTGGCTCTGTCCCTCCCCGTGACACGCCCTGTGCCCAGCCTGGCTCTGTCCCTCCCCGTGACACGCCCTGTGCCCAGCCTGGCTCTGTCCTTCCACTGTGACATGCCCTGTGCCCAGCCCGGCTCTGTCTCTCCTCTGTGACATGCCCTGTGCCCAGCCTGGCTCTGTCCCTCCCCCGTGACATGCCCTGTGCCCAGCCTGGCTCTGTCCCTCCTCTGTGACACGCCCTGTGCCCAGCCTGGCTCTGTCCCTCCCCCGTGACACGCCCTGTGCCCAGCCTGGCTCTGTCCCTCCCCCGTGACACGCCCTGTGCCCAGCCTGGCTCTGTCCCTCCTCTGTGACACGCCCTGTGCCCAGCCTGGCTCTGTCTCTCCCCTGTGACATGCCCTGTGCCCAGCCTGGCTCTGTCCCTCCCCCGTGACACGCCCTGTGCCCAGCCTGGCTCTGTCCCTCCTCTGTGACACGCCCTGTGCCCAACCTGGCTCTGTCCTTCCACTGTGACATGCCCTGTGCCCAACCTGGCTCTGTCCCTCCCCCGTGACACGCCCTGTGCCCAACCTGGCTCTGTCCCTCCCCTGTGACATGCCCTGTGCCCAACCTGGCTCTGTCCCTCCCCTGTGACATGCCCTGTGCCCAGCCTGGCTCTGTCCTTCCACTGTGACATGCCCTGTGCCCAGCCTGTCCCCCCCGCACGCCTGCCCAGCCTGCTCTGTCCTTCCACTGTGACATGCCCTGTGCCCAGCCCGGCTCTGTCTCTCCTCTGTGACATGCCCTGTGCCCAGCCTGGCTCTGTCCCTCCCCCGTGACATGCCCTGTGCCCAGCCTGGCTCTGTCCCTCCTCTGTGACACGCCCTGTGCCCAGCCTGGCTCTGTCCCTCCCCCGTGACACGCCCTGTGCCCAGCCTGGCTCTGTCCCTCCTCTGTGACACGCCCTGTGCCCAGCCTGGCTCTGTCCCTCCTCTGTGACACGCCCTGTGCCCAGCCTGGCTCTGTCCTTCCACTGTGACATGCCCTGTGCCCAGCCTGGCTCTGTCCCTCCTCTGTGACACGCCCTGTGCCCAGCCTGGCTCTGTCCCTCCCCCGTGACACGCCCTGTGCCCAGCCTGGCTCTGTCCCTCCTCTGTGACACGCCCTGTGCCCAGCCTGGCTCTGTCCCTCCTCTGTGACACGCCCTGTGCCCAGCCTGGCTCTGTCCTTCCACTGTGACACGCCCTGTGCCCAGCCTGGCTCTGTCCCTCCCCGTGACACGCCCTGTGCCCAGCCTGGCTCTGTCCTTCCACTGTGACATGCCCTGTGCCCAGCCCGGCTCTGTCTCTCCTCTGTGACATGCCCTGTGCCCAGCCTGGCTCTGTCCCTCCCCCGTGACATGCCCTGTGCCCAGCCTGGCTCTGTCCCTCCCCTGTGACACGCCCTGTGCCCAGCCTGGCTCTGTCCCTCCCCCGTGACACGCCCTGTGCCCAGCCTGGCTCTGTCCTTCCACTGTGACACGCCCTGTGCCCAGCCTGGCTCTGTCCCTCCCCGTGACACGCCCTGTGCCCAGCCTGGCTCTGTCCTTCCACTGTGACATGCCCTGTGCCCAGCCCGGCTCTGTCTCTCCTCTGTGACATGCCCTGTGCCCAGCCTGGCTCTGTCCCTCCCCCGTGACATGCCCTGTGCCCAGCCTGGCTCTGTCCCTCCTCTGTGACACGCCCTGTGCCCAGCCTGGCTCTGTCCCTCCCCCGTGACACGCCCTGTGCCCAGCCTGGCTCTGTCCCTCCTCTGTGACACGCCCTGTGCCCAGCCTGGCTCTGTCCCTCCCCGTGACACGCCCTGTGCCCAGCCTGGCTCTGTCTCTCCTCTGTGACACGCCCTGCCCAGCCTGGCTCTCTTGTCCTTGGGAGATCCATCCTGGCCGAGCCTGACTGTGCTGTCTCCCCCTCTTTCTGCCACGGAGCTGTGGGCTCTTGCCCCAGTCTGTGCTCCTACCCACAGGCATCAGCCACTGCGGCTGGGCAGGCACCCCAGGGTGTTGAAGCTGTTTCAAGTGATTGATGTTAGATTTACTCACTTATTTGAAGTCAGAGCTACAGACAGAAACAAAGCGAAAGAGAGCTTCCACCTGCTGGTTTGCTCTGCAGCTGCCAGCAGCAGTCAGAGCTGGGCCAGCCAAAAGCCAGGAGTGTCCTCCACGTGCCCACGAAGGCAGCTCCAGCTACCCTAAGGGGGCCCCGTGGCAGCTCCCACACTCGGTCCCTGCTCAGCCCCCTACCGCCCCACCTCCCAGCTGCTCCCAGACCCTGTGTCCCCCCACACTGCGTTGATTCGGCCTGCTAGCGGATGGCAGCGGATGCAAACCACAGAGGGGGGATTTGCCACGCTTCCTGGTCTGGTCACTGTGGTGCCCGAGGCCGCACCCCGCCTGGCTTTCAGCCACACAGCCCTCATGACCCGGGCTTGTTAGAGTCCAGGCTAAAGCCCCCGGACGTCAGGGTGCGAGCTAGTCAACCCCCAGAGGGCACAGGCAGCCTGTTCTGTTCCCACACCCATTATCTGTACGGCTCATCCTATTCTCACACCCTTATCTTCCTCCTGTTCCTGGGATGGGGAAGAATTGTGCCCCTGCCCCCCTACACCTGGGTTCACAAAGTTGCAGGACAGCAAAGAACAGATTTATCACTAAAGCAGAATCCTCCCAAAGTCCAGGCGCCTCCTGGCCTAGCAAAGCAGCAGTTTTCTTTACACAAAGGAACCTCACACTGCCCAACAATAGCATTTTACCTCCGCTCTATCAGGCTCAGCTTCAGCCTGGCGGCCAGTGGGCAAGCTTGCTCTGCTCCTTCTGCCAGGCTCAGGCCGTGGCCTCCTCCCCCGAGGTGTCTCCGTGACTACACCAGCTCAGCCTGTCTTCCGGCACTTGCTGGTCATGGTGCTCCAGCCTGCAGCCAGCGGGGCTCAACAGGCAGTGGCTGCAAAAGCCCAGCTGAGCCACCGTGACAGAGGCCACGGGGCCTGGGCAGGAGGACCCAGGGACTGTGTGCAGCGCCGTGTTCCAAGTCACTGGTTGCTAGTGACTTTCAGGCTGCTGGCCTGTTCTCAGCGACCACGTGTGTGGTGTGTGAAACGAGTGCAGTGCCGTGTTCCAACGGCGCCGGCAACTTGACCTGTGCCTTGAGCAGCCCGGTCTTACCCAGGCTGCGTTTGCTTCCTCTCCTCCTCAGACCCTCCCTGCTCTGCTGTCCCCTCTGCCGACGAGCCTGCGTGGCTGAGCTGGCGGCCGCCTCCTCTTCCAGGCCACACCCAGCAGCACCATGGACAAGGTGAGGCTCTCCCACGCACCTGCAGGGGCGGGGTCCTCTGGGCGGGCCACGGCCCTCGGGACTCACACCTTGCTAACTCTGCCGCAGGACACCCTGAACGCCAGCGACGCCTACTACTTCGAGGACGATTACACCGGCTTTGGGAACGCCTCGTACTATCCCATCGAGGACGGCGCCCTCCTCTGCTCCCAGCAGGGCGCGCGCGACTTCTCCCGGGTGTTCGTACCGGTGGCCTACTCCGTCATCTGCGTCTTCGGCCTGCTGGGCAACACCCTGGTGGTCATCACCTTCGCCTGCTACAAGAAGGCCAAGTCCATGACGGACGTCTACCTCCTGCACATGGCCTTGGCCGACGTGCTCTTCGTCCTCACGCTGCCGTTCTGGGCCGTCGACCATGCCGCCGGGACGTGGGTGTTCAGTAACGCCCTGTGCAAAGTCCTCAAGGGCACCTACGCCGTCAACTTCCACTGCGGCATGCTGCTGCTCACCTGCGTGAGCCTGGACCGCTACGTGGCCATCGTGCAGGCCACCAGGTCCTTCCGGCTCCGCTCCAGGACCTTGGCGCACAGCAAGGCCGTCTGCCTGGCCGTGTGGCTGCTGGCCATCGTCATCTCCAGCTCGGCCTTTACCTTCAGCCAGAAGTACGAGCTGCAGGGCCGCCAGGTGTGCGAGCCCAGGTACCAGACTGTGCTGGAGCCGGTGCGGTGGAAGCTGCTGGTGCTGGGCCTCGAGCTGCTCTTCGGCTTCTTCGTGCCACTGGCCTGCATGGGCTTTTGCTACCTGTTCATCGTCAAGACGCTGGTGCAGGCCCAGAATTCCAAGCGGCACAGAGCCATCCGTGTCATCCTGGCTGTGGTGCTGGTGTTCCTGGCCTGCCAGATCCCCCACAACGCGGTGCAGCTGGTGACGGCTGCCAACCTGGGCCGCGCGGGCCGCTCCTGCGAGCGCGAGCGTCTGCTCGGCTACGCCAAGAACGTGACGGAGGTGCTGGCCTTCCTGCACTGCTGCCTCAACCCTGTGCTCTACGCCTTCATCGGCCACAAGTTCAGGAGCTACTTCCTCAAGATCATGAAGGACTTCTGGTGTTTGGGCAGGAAGCGCCCAGTGCCCGGCAGCTCCTCCTCCAGGGCCTACTCCGAGACTGGCCCCGCCAGGCTGGCCAGTGAGACCGTGGACAACGACAATGTGTCGTCCTTCACCATGTGACAGGTGGAGGACGCCATGGCTACAGGGGAATGCCCGACAGGATCTGGCCGGTGTCTTACAGGACAGGGCTGTAGCATGCTCTCGGGTCACGTGGGTCCCTGTGAGATCCCCAAATGTCCTTCCCAAGAAATGCTGGTGAACCCAGAGCCCCTCATGGGGCTTGGGCAAGCTGGGTCACAGTGACTTGTTTGCAAGTCTGGAAGTTTTCAGACAAGTTCCTAAAGCAATGTCAGATGGCCACTTCCGGCTCGCGCACAGCTTTAACAACGCAGCACTGCCGCCTGCAGGACCAGCATCCCACAAGAGCATCAGCTCACGTCCCGGCTGCTCCACTCCCAGCTCTGTGCCAACGGCCTGCGAAAGCACCGGAGGATGGCTCAGATCCCTGGGACCCTACACCCTCGTGGGAGACCCAGAAGAAGCTCCTGGCTTCTGGCTTCAGCCTGGCCCAGATCCAACCTTTTCAACCATTTGCAGAGTGAACCAAAGGATGGAAGGATGGAAGAGCTCTCTCTCTCTCTCTCTCCCATCTCTGACTTTGCCCCCTACAGACAAATGTCAAAAAAAAAAAAAAAAAGAAAGAAAGAAAGAAAAGGGAAAAAAAAGTGGTCAGAAAAAAGAGAGAGAGAGAGAAGACCTCACCGAACACACGTCCGGCAAAGCCCACACATTCCCCCACTGACACCCAAGAAGTCAGAGGGAGAGCAAAGTCACGCGTCCTTCCCCCCTGCAGGCCCTCGGCGGCCACCCCAGCCGAGCAGGCAGTCAGCACGCTGCCCAGGGTGGCAGGTGGGACATTGGCTGCACAGTGGAAACACTCATACTTGGAGAGTCCCCCTGAGAAGGGTGGAGGTGCCAGCACGCTTCGTCCCCGTGCGCCTTGCTCATCAAGCCTCGGCCCCTGCCTTCCCATGAGACGCAGGACAATGCCCTACAGCTCCTGACGACGCTCGCCCAGACCCCAAAGACCAGGAAAGAAATGTGGTTGGGCCTCTCGCATTTGCCTGGCAGGCACCTGGCTTCAGGACCCAGGGGGAGTGCATGGGGGAACCAGCGTGGGACCTGGCCCACCTGCTTGCTGGACACGGCCAGGAACTGGCTCTGCTCCCTCACCTCACTATGCGGGTCATGGCAGCGACGGCCTCACGCGTCCAGCTACAAGGCCAAGGCGTCCACAGCACAGGTCTTGCTAAACCCTGGACTTTATGTACACACCGTTGCCCTGGCTGTCCCCCTGGCCATGCCTGAGCCCCTGCAGGGCCAGGCCCGTGTACTTCTCCTCCTGGCCCCGTACTCTGCCTGTGCCCCCACCCACCTGTACCTGGCACAGCTGTGTGGCAGTAGGGAGGTGAGCTAGGACCTGCATCTATCTTATTAATAAACAATCCATAATCAAAGTTTGAGTGCACATGTGTGATCCCTATGTATAATTGATACCGCCATGTGATTGTTCCGCTACCACACGGTACACATGTGTGTTTACATATGTACACACGCATTGTCCTAACTAGAAGGTAGTTCTCCCGGGCTCCTGGTTGCGCTGTAGTTGTGTCAGAGTCACCCCAGGAGGGAACAGCACTGCTTGCTCCGCCATTTGCCTCAAGGTGCGTGAATGGAAGCAGGGGCACATCTGCAAGGCCTTCCTAGACGACGGCCCACGCGTGCAGACGTGTGGCTCCCAGGTGCGGGCGGAGCTTCTCTGGAACGAACGTGCCTGCCCCTGCACACATACGGGGGCTTCAGCAGCAGGTCTGTCTCACCCCTAGAGCTACAGGATATCCAAGGCGAGCGTTAACCAAAGGCTTGCCAACAGCACAGGTAATAAAGGAACTGTGCGTGCCTCCTGGCTCCACAGTGACCCACGAGGCAAGCCAGGGAAGCATCCAGCACACCAACACAAGGATCCAAGGAGGTCTCAACACGGATGGGCACCGTGTCCCAGAGGCTTCAGCGGCTGATGCCACATGCGTTCAGAGCTCAACCAGAGTCCTCGTGCAGTAAAGGGGACATCCCACATTCTAGAAGCCAAGAGTGGACTTCTTATGAAGACTGTCATCAGGACAGGACAGCAGGGACACACACACTCTCTTCCCTTGCACTGCTCACTCTCCCGTTTGACCCGGGCGGCATTCCTCGATGTTCCAGCTCTCTGGTCTCCTCCTCTCTGTCCTCTCCCCTGGAGTACTGCCTCTCCCCTGCAGTACTGCCTCTCCCCTGCAGTACGGCCCTCTCCCCTGCCCTACCGCCCTCTCCCCTGCCCTACTGCCCTCTCCCCTGCAGTACTGCCCTCTCCCCTGCCCTACTGCCCTCTCCCCTGCAGTACTGCCTCTCCCCTGCAGTACGGCCCTCTCCCCTGCAGTACGGCCCTCTCCCCTGCCCTACCGCCCTCTCCCCTGCAGTGCTGTCCTCTCCCCTGCAGTACTGCCTCTCCCCTGCAGTACGGCCCTCTCCCCTGCCCTACTGCCCTCTCCCCTGCAGTACTGTCCTCTCCCCTGCAGTACGGCCCTCTCCCCTGCCCTACCGCCCTCTCCCCTGCCCTACTGCCCTCTCCCCTGCAGTACTGCCTCTCCCCTGCAGTACGGCCCTCTCCCCTGCCCTACCGCCCTCTCCCCTGCCCTACTGCCCTCTCCCCTGCAGTACGGCCCTCTCCCCTGGAGTACTGCCCTCTCCCCTGCCCTACTGCCCTCTCCCCTGGAGTACTGCCCTCTCCCCTGCAGTACTGCCCTCTCCCCTGCAGTACTGCCCTCTCCCCTGCAGTACGGCCCTCTCCCCTGCAGTACGGCCCTCTCCCCTGCAGTACAGTCCTCTCCCCTGCAGTACTGCCCTCTCCCCTGCAGTACTGCCCTCTCCCCTACAGTACTGTCCTCTCCCCTGCAGTGCTGTCCTCTCCCCTGCAGTACGGCCCTCTCCCCTGCAGTACTGCCCTCTCCCCTGCAGTACTGCCCTCTCCCCTGCAGTACGGCCCTCTCCCCTACAGTACTGTCCTCTCCCCTGCAGTGCTGTCCTCTCCCCTACAGTGCTGCCCTCTCCCCTGCAGTACTGCCCTCTCCCCTACAGTACTGTCCTCTCCCCTGCAGTGCTGTCCTCTCCCCTACAGTACTGTCCTCTCCCCTACAGTACTGCCCTCTCCCCTGCAGTACGGCCCTCTCCCCTGCAGTACTGCCCTCTCCCCTGCAGTACTGCCCTCTCCCCTGCAGTACTGCCCTCTCCCCTGCAGTACAGCCCTCTCCCCTGCAGTACTGCCCTCTCCCCTGCAGTACTGCCCTCTCCCCTACAGTACTGTCCTCTCCCCTGCAGTGCTGTCCTCTCCCCTGCAGTACGGCCCTCTCCCCTGCAGTACTGCCCTCTCCCCTACAGTACTGTCCTCTCCCCTGCAGTACGGCCCTCTCCCCTGCAGTACGGCCCTCTCCCCTGCAGTACTGTCCTCTCCCCTGCAGTACTGTCCTCTCCCCTGCAGTACGGCCCTCTCCCCTGCAGTACTGCCCTCTCCCCTGCAGTACGGCCCTCTCCCCTGCAGTACTGCCCTCTCCCCTACAGTACTGTCCTCTCCCCTGCAGTACGGCCCTCTCCCCTGCAGTACTGCCCTCTCCCCTGCAGTACTGTCCTCTCCCCTGCAGTACGGCCCTCTCCCCTGCAGTACTGCCCTCGCCCCTGCAGTACTGCCCTCTCCCCTGCAGTACGGCCCTCTCCCCTGCAGTACTGTCCTCTCCCCTGCAGTACTGCCCTCTCCCCTGCAGTACTGCCCTCTCCCCTGCAGTACGGCCCTCGCCCCTGCAGTACTGCCCTCTCCCCTGCAGTACTGTCCTCTCCCCTGCAGTACTGCCCTCTGGCACCCAGATGTTGGTGCTGACCAGGCCTGACCTGCTTTCCTCATTCACTGTCCTTGGGCAGTTCAGAGCCACAGGGGCCCGTTTCAGGTGTGTGGCCGTGAGATGGTCCTGCGGTCGGCCGCCCTTCTCTCCGTAGTGGGGGCGATGGTGTCCTCCGTACATCTTCCTGTCCTCCCACCCCGCCCCGACAGAGCAGTCTCCTCCAGCACCATGAGTGGAACCCAGCCATCCAGATCTGAGCAGAACTCTCTGCTCCTGGACAAGGGCGAGAGTGGCAAACCCTGGGATCCCCCGCGTTTTGTGGCGTCCTGTTTGCAGAGGAATCTTGGCTGAATTCCTCCCAGCAGGCCTTGTCAAACCACCGAGGCGCGAGGCAGCGGTGCTCTTCGACCTAGGATCTGCCAGGGACAGTCCGGTGGGCAATGCCCATTTAGTGTAAAGCCAGTACAAACTTCTACAGACTCGGAAAAGGGGAGCACAGAGGGCATCTCCCGACAGTGCCCCCGACCCCTGCCAATCAACACCACCACGGTAATTGACTAGAAGGCAAGCCTGTCCCTTTAGACGTCCAGTCGTGTCCACCTGCACGGCGGGCGCAGTGCCTCAGGTCATGCGCAGGTAAGCTGTGAGTGACTTGTGCCCACCAGGGAGCAGGCCGAGGTCCAGCGGTGACCTACAGATGCGCAGGTGCCATGAGCAGGGCCTGTGTGAGGATGGGGGGACGCCTTGCCGCGGCTGTGGGCAGCGCCCAAAACTCCAGCTGACCTCCGAGACCTGGACGAGGGCGTTGTCGTGCTGCTTGACCGAACTTTCCAGTATTTACCAGGGTGGGTGTGTGTATGTGTCCCATTTCGCAGACGGGGAAAGTTGAGGTTGCTCGTGTGGTTTGTCACAGGCTGCAGAGCGAGGCGAGATGGAGCAGCCTGCTGGCCCCAGGCCCCGCCCTGAGTCCCTGCCCGGTGACCTGAGATCCTGGCTAGACCTTGGTGCATGTGTGGAAGCAGAGGCGGCAGGAGGATCTGCCCACACTCACCAAGGCCAGGGCTGGGTCTGGCATGACCTGGGGGCAGGTGCCCACCCTGGCAGGACCAGGCCAATCAGAGTGGAGGGCTCCTCCCAGGGGTCACCCCGGGGCTTGGGGCACAGACCGATTCCAAGGCTCCACTTGGGTTTTCCAAGGGTGACGTGAGACCCAAGACGGCACAGCCCTGGGGTGAGAGCTGTCCAAGGGGGATTAGGACTGGACGCCCAGAACCTCGCTGCCCCTGCAGACCCAGGGTGCTGGTGCAGAGGCCTGCAGGGAGGACTCAGCCCTCTGTGTCTCTGGAGAGGGCCTCAGCCTTCTGGAGGTCTGCATGAAGAGCATGGGAAATGTGTCATCGTGTACTGAGAGGGCGGCGACGCTGTTGCCATGGAGACCAGCGCAGGCGATGTAGCTTCGACAATTCACGCTTTTGGACAGGGGGAGCTGAGAGCCAGGAGAGTGGGCATGACAGAGAGGGTGTCCCCTGGGGATTTTGTTCAGCCTTCCACACCTTCTCCCGGCTGCGGCTTCCCCCAGGGCCCTGCGAATGAAAGGAAGAACAAAGAATGAAGACAGGCGTGGCTGAGGGAAGCCTGGCCTGGGCAGGGGCACACGGCAGCCCAGTGTCCAGCAGAGAGGCTGGGACCTGGCAGCAGCACACGGCAGCCCAGTGTCAGCAGAGAGGCTGGGGCCTGGGCAGGGGCACACGGCAGCCCAGTGTCCAGCAGAGAGGCTGGGACCTGGGCAGGGGCACACGGCAGCCCAGTGTCCAGCAGAGAGGCTGGGACCTGGGCAGGGGCACACGGCAGCCCAGTGTCCAGCGGAGAGGCTGGGACCTGGCAGCAGCACAGGTCACTCCTGTGCCCAGGCTCATAAAGAGGGTTGAACCCCTGTCCCGTCACTTGTGCCAACAGCTGAGTGTCCATTGCTAGTGACCGCTCTGCGGAGGTCATGTGGTCAGTCTGCTCCTCTGCACACAGACGTGGGGTGAGCTCCTGGCTTCAGTAAGGCGGGTGGCCCTGCCACTGAATCTGCAGGTGGGGCTGGGAGATCCTGTCAGGACTCGGAGGCTGCCCCGTCCACGCCATGTCCAGCTCTGCCCAGCGTGGCCAGCACAGTTGCTTCTCCACCCAGGCAGGAGACCCCGGGGTCTGCCTGACCAGGGCACTACAAGGAGCCCAGATCCAGGTGGAACTTGAACTTGGACCCTCCCACAGTGGGACCAGGAAACAGACTTTCTTGCCCAAGACCACTTCCCTCAGCAGGAGGGGAGCCTGGCTCTGCCGTGACGTGTGCACACGTGTGTCCTGCAGCGATGCGCTCGCGTGTGCAAATCACAGCTCTGGCCGTGCGTGCTTCACCCCGCATGAGCTCCAGAGTCCGCAGAGCTGCCCCTTTAAGACAGGAGTCCGTTTAGAATGGCCCAGACTTCTGCAGGGTAGGACTCCACAGCCCAGGTAAGCGGGGGCCAGGCAGGAGGAGTGGGTGTGGGCCACGGGTGCCACGCGATCGGCTGGGGGGGCTGTGGTGAGGCAGGTGGGGGCCTCCCCTCACTTGCGGGGAGGGGGCTTGAGGGGAAGGGTTTTCTCTGAGATGTGACCCCTGGCCCTCCCAGGGACCCAGCGGGACTCAGGCCTTGGCCATGAGCCCCCTGGGACCCTCACATCAGGAAACATGTCCCACGGGGCCTGTGGGAATCCATGGCCAGTTCAGGCCATGAGTGTGCTGCTGAGTCCCTGCCACTCCGGGCCATCCTTCCGCTCGGCCAGTCCTGGGCTGGGCAGCGTGAGCAGCCCAGAGTGAGACAGGGTCTGCCCCACACCTCTGGCTGGGCACAGGACCCTGTGACCATTCTTCCAGACAGGACACCGAGAGGTTACATGGAGGCTGGGGAGCTAGCAGAGGCGGGTGGCACGGAGGACCACAGCCGGACAGCAGGGCCCAACCCCGAGGCACCAGCTGCCACAGTCCGGCTGCCCAGGAAAGATGGCCAGGCCCAGGAGATGAGGGTGAGCTTGGCTGCGGCTCTGCCTCTGTCCTCAGGGGCCGCCAGGCTGCTGGCTGGTGAGCTTTGCCGGGCAGGCAGGGCTGGGCTGGAGGGCTGATGCTGCCAGCATCATGACTTCAGTCCCCGTGGCAGCTCCTGCAGCAGCAAGTGGCCAGGCTGCAGCGGCAGCTCCAACAGCACGAGTCGCGGTGGTCGGCGGTGGTCAGCCAGCTCCAGGGCCAGGTGGACGTGCTCAGGAGGCAGAACCTCTGGCTATGGAGTGAGCTGAGGGCTGCCCGGAGGCAGCAGCCAGAAGAGCCCAGGGACCCCACCGGATGCCCGTGGGACCATCCGGTACCAAAGTGTCCTTTAGTGCACGCTCCCTGGGCGGGGCCCCCTCCCCCGGAAGCAGTGACTTGCAGCTGTCACGGCTGCGGGGGTGGTGCTGGGCTCGCTTCTCAGGCATTCGTGACCAAACACGCGTGGCACACAGATCCGTGAACGCTGGGTCTGCCCTGGGGTTAGACTGAAGGATGGAGCAGCCCTGACGACACTGGGGTCACTCCGAGTGATGGACACAGTGCCCGTGGGTTCCACCTGCTGTGGGGAACCCCCTCCCCCTGCCATCAATAGCCCAAGACTGGCCTGTAGCATCTCCCTTGTTCTGGAGCATTCCATTTACCCGGCGGCCCTACCGCCTGGCTCTGTCCCAGAGCTGGGCCTGCACTGCATCAATCCCCCAGGTATCGGACTCCACTTCTGGAAAAAAAACACTGGCAGCTGAAGAGGAAATGACACCGAGACCCTGGGGTGGTGGCAGCCACAGCACCGTGGTCTTGGAGCAAAAGCCATCACAGCCAAGCTTGGCCCCAGCCACGGTGAGCCGGGGAGCTTGCACTCCACGTGGGGCAGTGGCCAGACCTCCCCTACGCCCAGGGGCAGGTCTGCAGCTCCACACCAGAGGCCACTGCTCCTCTTTGGAGCACAGGGATGCCCACCTCCCCACTCAGGCACCCAGGCCTGGGGCAGAATCCACTTCCTGTTGGCAGTGTTCCTGGGCGCATGCGATGGGGGTGACCAGGCAGGAACCGTCGCCACGTTGGGGTCTGTTGATGCAGCTGGACACGCTTCGAGCTGTCTGCTGGTTTCCCTTTTGACAGGCAGAGAGGTGAGAGTGAGAGAGAGAAACAGAATATGAGAGGGAGGGAGAGAGAAAGTGAGAGAGGGAGGGAGAGAGTGAGAGGGAGGGACAGACGGGGAGAGAATGGGCGTGCGAGGGGCTCTGGGTGTTGTGGTGCCTTTGAGATGTGTCCTGCTGTGTTTCCGTATTCCTCGGGATTAACGGGGTGTCTACTGTGTCATCCTAGCTCTCGTGTGGACCAGGGAGGGGAATGGTGGCTCACACACCTCAGAGCCACCAACGCTCAGATGTAGGGCTGGCACCATGGTGCAGTCGGCTAAGCCTCTGCCTGCATCTCCGACGGGCACTGGTTCGAATCCTGGCTGCTCCAGTTCCAATCCAGCTCCCCGCTAAAGCTCCTGGGAGACCTGGAAGAAGCTGCTGGCTTCGGACAGGTCCAGCCCCGGCTGCTGCAGTCACCAGGGCGGGAAGCAGCAGATGGGCACTTGGTAACTCTGCCTTTCCAATAAATGAATGTTTGAGCGGCTGTCCCTTTCATGCTGAGGGCATGAGATGCCAGGATGGTCCTGGATGCAGGCCGATGGCCGCCGGCCCTTCCAGCCAGCAGGTCTGAAGGCAGGAGTCCACCCTGGGACCGGAGAGGCCGGCTTTGTGCCCCAGTGCTCAGTGGAAGAGCTGCCCCCTGGTGGACAGCAGGATGGCTGGTCCCCAGTGGTTGGATGGGAGATCTGCCCCTTGGCAGAGGGGTCGGGTGCCCATGGCCAGGTGACCTTACACACGCGGGCTGCCCTGATGTTAGATCTGCCCCGCTGTGTGATCCTAAATGGACAGAACTGTGTCTCTCATATAATTGTTCAACAGATTACAAACTGAGTATTCTCAAATGCGTCTAGAATTGCAGAAAAAAAATTGCTTTGCCATATTCTGCGTTTTTCCCTTTTTTCTTTGAACAGCTTTTTATTTTAATTTAGTTACCTTGAAAGTCAAAATTAATGTTGAGAGAGGGGCTGAGAGACAGAGAGAGAGAGAGAGAGTCTTCCACCGTTACTTCACTTTCCAAATGACTGCAATGGACAGTGTGGAGTCGGTCTGAAGCCAGGAGCCAGGAGCCAGGAACCTCCCTCGGGTTTCCCCCATGGCTTTGTGCCAAGCTCGATCGTTTTCTCAGGCCCTAAATGGGGAGCTAGGTGGGAAGTGGAGCAGCCAGGACAGGAACCAGTGAGGCAGTATTCACAGGAACTCCAGCACTGTGGGCAGCAGCTCTGCTCACCATGCCACCACGCCAGCTCCTGTGTGTCTCACTCTACCAAGCTCAGCCTGTGGGCAAGGTTGCTGAAGTCCCAGACAGCACCTGGGGCTCCATGTGTCCCTGTGTCTGGGCTGTGCCGGGAGGGCAGCAGGGCAGTGACGCGCGGGTCTCTGACTGAGGTACTCTCAGGTCACTGACGCGTGCTCCCGAGCACCACCAGCACAACCTGGCAGGACATGGGCGGCACCAGCTCGTGGGGAGGACAGGCCAAGAGCTGGCCAGCCAGGTCAGTTGGTGGACGGTGACCCTGCCCTGCTATGTGCCTTCCTGGCCCTGGAGTGGGCTTCGTGGACATGGCCCACACTCAGCACATGGCTCCCTCCCTGCCTAGCTGTGCTGCTGCTCTGGGTTGGTTCCCCGTTGGCATAGCATGGGGCACCTCCCGTCCCTGCACTCCTATGGGTGTCCACTCCCCACTGGGCCTACAGTACCTGCACCCTCCAGGGTCCCTGATGGGCCCCGACCCACTCCTCCGGTCGCCCGCAAGTCACCTGCACCATGGTGGCCTCTGGTTCCCATGTCTGGCCCGGGCAGCGTCAGTGCATTCAGGCCAGGTCAGTGCCTTGTCCACTACAGCACTCACGCACACACACACACACAGCATCCACTCGGTGGGCCGTGTGGCTCCGAGGTCACCTGCAGGGCTACTGGACGCTCACAGTGAACTCCTGGCCAGCCAGTGGATGCCCTCCAGTGGATGCCCTCCAGCGGATGCCCTCCAGCAGCCACTGTCCCCTGTAGTCCAGCTGCTCTGCTCTTGCAGGGATGACGTCGGGGCCCCAGGATGGAATGGCCACCAGCGTCCACCCTGATGGACCCACCCGTTCCTCCCCGGACCCTGGAGAGCCACAGGTGAGCACTCTGAGCGCCAGGGCAGTGGGTTTGGGGCCGGCACAGCTGGCACTTCCAAAGCTTCCCGAGCTCATGGCAAGCAGCGGCAGCGGCAGAGGTCCCTACTCTGGCTGGACCCCACCTGACCCAGAAACGTCCCTTGTGGCACCACGGGTTGCCCTACAAGTTCCCCAGATCCAAGCTCGCTCTCTTGTTCAGTTGAGAATTCTCCGGCAGAGCGAGAGGAGCCAAAGGCAGGTTAGCAAACGACCTCCCAGCCAAGCCAGCAGCGCTGTGGCCACTGCCTGAGAGGACAGCATCCTCTCGCCGGCATCCTGGGGCGGGGCAGCCACAGCAGCAGTGCCAGTGCCCTGGCGTTTCCTCTGGGTTTTCTTGTGGGGGCACTCAGGCCGTGAGGCTCCCGTCAGAGCCACACAGCTGAGGGTCAGCCTGACTCTGGAGCCGGGTCCAGCACACGAGCGAGGCTCAGTGATTGTGCAGGGCAAGCCCCATGTGGCTACCAGCAGATGCAGCCGTTTGTGGGCACTTGGGAAAGTGTGTGAGAAACGGCTGGGACGACGAGCACCTGCTGTGCACCCACGCACCGTGGTCTTCCTGACACATGTTGTCCACAGCCCCTCGGACACACAGTTCATGCTTCTGTCTTTTGCACCCAAGCAAGCCGCTCCTAGGCTCCCCTCCTCTGCCCAGGCCCCCGTGTGCTGCCCCTGACGGCCCCGCGGGTCTGCCATGTCTGCAGGACATTCCTGCGCAGGCAGCGGCTGCGAGAGGCACAGCTCCCCACAGATACAACCCCGGGAAGGGGGGATGCCAGCCACCAGATAGCAAGGTAGGGACCCTGCTCCCTGCGGCTGCGATGACAGGTGTCGGGCGAAGCGGAACACATGCCTGTTACAGGCCCAGCACCTCTTGTCCTCTCTGCCTCCGCCCTGAGGTCCACACCTGGTCCCCAGGAGTCACACCAGATGCCGAGGGCTCCAGCGGCTCAGGAGGGCTCAGAAGCCGCAGTAGCTGTGGGGCCACACGGAGCACCATGCAGACTCCGAGGCCGGGGAGGCTCCCCTCCACACGCTTCTCTCCACACCTCACTCCTGCCCCAGACGTGGATGTCTGGTCCTGCCCCTGCACCATCAGATCTGAGGGTGACAAGATGTCCTGGCTGCCCGTTGCGGGGGCTTCACAGACTGAGGGCAGGCCCCCGTCAGTTCTCAGTCTCTTCTCATGGCAGCCAAGTGAGGGAGCATGTTCTGTCTCTGGTCTGTGCTGAGGCTGCCAGGACTGTCAGGGGGCTGTGCCCAGCGACCCTGTCCAGCCCCATCTAACTCTAAGTGCCTCTCCCCGAGGGGCGTGACTCAGCTGTGCAAACAGCCAGCAGGTGGTGTGCCCCGGAGTCCCCTGGCTGCTGTGACCCGCGTAGCTGGAGTCCACTGCAGTTTCCCCATGGGGAGTTTGGTGTTCTGCCCCACGGCCGGGGCAGCAGTGGGAGTAGCTAAGGAAATTGCACCACTGCCGTGGTTTCCAGAGGCTCACAGGAGGTCCCCAAGATCGCCGTCAGGCTCTCTTCCTTGGGTGACTTACACAGGTGACATTCGTGTGAATTCCCAGCTTAGCGACACGCATGCTGAGGGTCCCCCCTCTGCTGATTGCTCTCGGGCGGCATGGGCTATGGGTTCAGGCAAGGGACAGAGAGGAAAGAACCGGAGCTGCAGATCCTTGGGTCCCGATGGACTGAATCCAGTGGCCAAGACAACGTGGACGGCGGTAAATGGGTCTGGCAAATCGGACCTGGGTGGGGGCAGACCACGGGCCTCTCCCATCCTACACAGCAGCGTCGGACAGGAGTCTGGGAGCCCACTGAGGCAACCCTGGTGTGTGTTTTCATGGAAATAACACAGCCATGCCAGCAGCAGACAAACAAGGAAACGGATTGGAAAGAAAATAAACCACGGGGAGGCGGGCATCAGCTCTCACCAGGAGCATTGTGTGTGTCCACAGGGGCAGCAGACACTGGGCGACGGGAGGACACTCATCACCTTCCCCAGCGGGACGCAGAAGGAGGTCAGTGCCGACAGGAGGACCATCACCATCCGGTTTTTCAACGGAGACATAAAGAAGATCAAGCCAGACCAAAGAGTGGTGCGCACCTGAGACCTGCAGGGACATGGAAGCCAATGGGGCGAGAGGAGCAGCCACGCACACCACGGGGGCACGGGCAGAGAGAGGCCTAGGACAGCGCCCACGTGCACAGCCCAGGGGCACAGGCAGAGAGATGGCCTAGACAGTGCCCACCCGCGCACAGCCCAGTGGGGTGGGCAGAGGCCAGGCCTAGGACTGGACACACCTCTGTGAATGACCTCTGCTACTCCAGAGTGCCTCCTTCAATTCCCTAGGCCTCGAGACCTCGGGCCAACCTCCTGTGGGAGCATCTCACTGCTCTGCTGAGTCATGAGTCAGGCTTGTCCCTGGATTTGTGGAAAGCAGTTCAAATGGCAGAAAACTGGAAACACAGGTCAACCATCAAACATCTCCCTCTCAGCACAGTTCCCACACTCCTGTCCCTCTGTAACTCCTCTCACACTCCTGTCCCTCTGTAACTCCTCCTCCCACACACCTGTCCCTCTGTAACTCCTCTCACACTCCTGTCCCTCTGTAACTCCTCCTTCCACACACCTGTCCCTCTGTAACTCCTCCCACACACCTGTCCCTCTGTAACTCCTCCCACACTCCTGTCCCTCTGTAACTCCTCCCACACACCTGTCCCTCTGTAACTCCTCCCACACACCTGTCCCTCTGTAACTCCTCCCACACACCTGTCCCTCTGTAACTCCTCCCACACCTGTCCCTCTGTAACTCCTCCCACACACCTGTCCCTCTGTAACTCCTCCTCCCACACACCTGTCCCTCTGTAACTCCTCTCACACTCCTGTCCCTCTGTAACTCCTCCCACACTCCTGTCCCTCTGTAACTCCTCCCATACACCTGTCCCTCTGTAACTCCTCCTCCCACACACCTGTCCCTCTGTAACTCCTCCCACATTCCTGTCCCTCTGTAACTCCTCCTCCCACATTCCTGTCCCTCTGTAACTCCTCCCACACTCCTGTCCCTCTGTAACTCCTCCCACACCTGTCCCTCTGTAACTCCTCCCACACACCTGTCCCTCTGTAACTCCTCCTCCCACACTCCTGTCCCTCTGTAACTCCTCCTCCCACACACCTGTCCCTCTGTAACTCCTCCCACACACCTGTCCCTCTGTAACTCCTCCCATACACCTGTCCTCTGTAACTCCTCCCACACTCCTGTCCCTCTGTAACTCCTCCCACACACCTGTCCCTCTGTAACTCCTCCCACACACCTGTCCCTCTGTAACTCCTCCCATACACCTGTCCTCTGTAACTCCTCCCACACACCTGTCCCTCTGTAACTCCTCCTCCCACACTCCTGTCCCTCTGTAACTCCTCCTCCCACACACTCCTGTCCCTCTGTAACTCCTCCCACACACCTGTCCCTCTGTAACTCCTCCTCCCACACACCTGTCCCTCTGTAACTCCTCCTCCCATACACCTGTCCCTCTGTAACTCCTCCCACACACCTGTCCCTCTGTAACTCCTCCCACACACCTGTCCCTCTGTAACTCCTCCTCCCACACTCCTGTCCCTCTGTAACTCCTCCTCCCACACTCCTGTCCTCTGTAACTCCTCCCACACTCCTGTCCCTCTGTAACTCCTCCCACACTCCTGTCCCTCTGTAACTCCTCCTCCCACACACCTGTCCCTCTGTAACTCCTCCCACACTCCTGTCCCTCTGTAACTCCTCCCACACTCCTGTCCCTCTGTAACTCCTCCCACACACCTGTCCCTCTGTAACTCCTCCCACACTCCTGTCCCTCTGTAACTCCTCCCACACACCTGTCCCTCTGTAACTCCTCCTCCCACACTCCTGTCCCTCTGTAACTCCTCCTCCCACACACCTGTCCCTCTGTAACTCCTCCCACACACCTGTCCCTCTGTAACTCCTCCTCCCACACTCCTGTCCCTCTGTAACTCCTCCCACACTCCTGTCCTCTGTAACTCCTCCTCCCACACTCCTGTCCCTCTGTAACTCCTCCCACACACCTGTCCCTCTGTAACTCCTCCCACACACCTGTCCCTCTGTAACTCCTCCCACACTCCTGTCCCTCTGTAACTCCTCCTCCCACACTCCTGTCCCTCTGTAACTCCTCCCACACTCCTGTCCTCTGTAACTCCTCCCACACACCTGTCCCTCTGTAACTCCTCCCACACACCTGTCCCTCTGTAACTCCTCCCACACTCCTGTCCTCTGTAACTCCTCCTCCCACACACTCCTGTCCCTCTGTAACTCCTCCCACACACCTGTCCCTCTGTAACTCCTCCCACACACCTGTCCCTCTGTAACTCCTCCCACACACCTGTCCCTCTGTAACTCCTCCCACACTCCTGTCCCTCTGTAACTCCTCCCACACTCCTGTCCCTCTGTAACTCCTCCCACACTCCTGTCCCTCTGTAACTCCTCCCACACACCTGTCCCTCTGTAACTCCTCCCACACTCCTGTCCCTCTGTAACTCCTCCCACACACCTGTCCCTCTGTAACTCCTCCCACACACCTGTCCCTCTGTAACTCCTCCCACACACCTGTCCCTCTGTAACTCCTCCCACACTCCTGTCCCTCTGTAACTCCTCCCACACTCCTGTCCCTCTGTAACTCCTCCTCCCACACTCCTGTCCCTCTGTAACTCCTCCTCCCACACACCTGTCCCTCTGTAACTCCTCCCACACTCCTGTCCCTCTGTAACTCCTCCTCCCACACTCCTGTCCCTCTGTAACTCCTCCCACACTCCTGTCCCTCTGTAACTCCTCCCACACTCCTGTCCCTCTGTAACTCCTCCTCCCACACTCCTGTCCCTCTGTAACTCCTCCTCCCACACACCTGTCCCTCTGTAACTCCTCCCACACTCCTGTCCCTCTGTAACTCCTCCTCCCACACTCCTGTCCCTCTGTAACTCCTCCCACACTCCTGTCCCTCTGTAACTCCTCCCACACTCCTGTCCCTCTGTAACTCCTCCTCCCACACTCCTGTCCCTCTGTAACTCCTCCCACACTCCTGTCCCTCTGTAACTCCTCCTCCCACACTCCTGTCCCTCTGTAACTCCTCCCACACTCCTGTCCCTCTGTAACTCCTCCCACACTCCTGTCCCTCTGTAACTCCTCCCACACACCTGTCCCTCTGTAACTCCTTCCACACACCTGTCCCTCTGTAACTCCTCCTCCCACACACCTGTCCCTCTGTAACTCCTCCTCCCACACACCTGTCCCTCTGTAACTCCTCCCACACACCTGTCCCTCTGTAACTCCTCCCATACACCTGTCCCTCTGTAACTCCTCCTCCCACACACCTGTCCCTCTGTAACTTCTCCCACACACCAGTTGTTCTCTTGCTTTTTTTCACACTCACAGCCCTGTTTTGTGAACTGAGAGTGTCACTAAGAGTGTCAGCACCCTTGAGAACTTCTTTGAGGCGCAGTGCGGGACAGTGAGGCACTGTCCTGGGTCTGATGATGAGGTTGGCATGTTTTCTGTGCCGTCTCAGGCTGCTGTCATAAATGGGGTTCATTCATTGTCTGGCTGCTACTCTGCAGCACGACCCCGGACCTTTCTGATTGCCTGGAGTTCACTATGGGGTGCACCCTCTTGTGACCCACCCCGTTCTCTCGTACCCTCAGGTTTACTACTATGCTCAGGCACAGACGACCCACACCACCTACCCCAGCGGAGAGCAGGTGGTGCAGTTCCCCAACAAGCAAACAGGTGAGTCCACCCAGGGCCTCTGGTGGCTCAGCACAGATGGTGGCTGACATCATGTGGCGTGGCTCATGTTTTCATGTGGTATGGCGTCATTGCTCTCACAGAATGGCCAGGTTCAGTCCTGGGGCCTCTGGGGAGACTCATCTAACTTGCTGTGCGTGCTCCCTCCCTGTTGGAGTCCCACTTGCTGCCTGCTCCCTCCCTGTTGGAGTCCCACTTGCTGCCTGCTTCCACCCACTCAGCCATCTGTCCCCAGCAAGGGGAGGCTCAGCAGTCAGTGGGTCAGCCACGTAAGGACAACGTCCCTCCACTGCAGACCTGAACAGTCTTAGCTCACGTGGCTGTCATCTCCCTGCCCCAATGGTTGTGTGTGTGCTACAGGAGAGCGGCAAGAATGGTTAAGTCTGAGGTCTTTAGGGAAACAATTGGACCTTGCTGCTGTGGGTGCGTGTGGAACAGGCCTGCCCGGAGGTGACCTTGGGTGTTGGACCTTCCCCATCACATCCTGGTGTCCTTCGAGACGCTGCAAATGCCTGCAACCCGCCCCTGAGTCAAGGGTTTGACATGGAGCAGTGTGGTCACTGAGCACGGCCTGGCCTCTGCACGTCCACGCGTGCTGATCAGTGTGTCTGTGGGGTAGCCTTGTGGCCTGGCCTTCCTGTCCATAGCCACACGGGCGTTCAGGAGCTGCAGCCCCTTGCAACGTGTCAGAAGTGGGTGGGGTGTCCTCGTTTTCAGAACAAAGAGGCGAAAACTGAGCAGATACTGGGCACCCAGTGTCTGTGAGCACACGGGGTCTCCTTGCTGTCCCTCCGTCTGGGTTCCTCAGTATGTAACGGCTTGTCATGTCTTCAGGAAAAGCAGAGACCCACTGGCATGGGGGTGCTGTCTGCAGACCTGGGAGTGGAGGGGCATGGCAGGGGCAGAGCTGGCTCAGGGGCCATGCCCCCCGTCTCCGGGGGTGACAGTGCAGCCGGTGCCCTGTGAAGCCAAGTTGTTGCCATTTGTGGGGGGCTGGACATGCGTGTCTATAATTTGCTTAATCTGAACAGTGGAGCGGTTTTCCAAGTGTTCGTTACACCCCAAGTGCCTGTGGCAGCTTTCCTGAGCATGGCAGAGCCTCACTCCTCTTCTTTATGGTCTGTGCTGCCCTGGGGGCCGGCATGGGGGCATCCACCCCTGGGGGCCGGCATGGGGGCATCCACCCCTGGGGGCCGGCATGGGGGCATCCACCCCTGGGGGCCGGCATGGGGGCATCCACCCCTGGGGGCCGGCATGGGGGCATCCACCCCTGGGGGCCGGCATGGGGGCATGCACCCCTGGGGGCCGGCATGGGGGCATCCACCCCTGGGGGCCGGCATGGGGGCATGCACCCCTGGGGGCCGGCATGGGGGCATCCACCCCTGGGGGCCGGCATGGGGGCATCCACCCCTGGGGGCCGGCATGGGGGCATGCACCCCTGGCTCTGTGTTCACTTTCTTAGGTCCAAAAGATCCCCGAAGTTCCACACGCAGCAATGCAAGAGCAAAGAAACTATTGCTAGCTCGAGCTGGGGTCCGAGTCTCATCCACCGCAGTGGAGTCTTGGCAAGGACCCCGCTGCTCTCTTGCAGACTTTGTTCCCTCCTAGTCACGCACAACACATCTCCAGCAAGCACTTATCTTGGTCCCGTATAGCTTGTATCGGGGTAGGCCACGTTCCCGTGCAACCCACACAGTGCAGACCATTCCACTTGCGGACGTGCGGATGCCCCTGACCGGCCCATCTCCGAGGTTGCTGCCCCCTGCCCACTCCATCATTCTGAGGAAAATGCAACTTTGAAGTGAAGTGAGACTTAGGCCTACTCCCCAACCTTAGGCCCATCATGGCGTCAGTCCTGTTCTTTATGCGACAAAGCCAGGCAACGATTACAGAAGCCAAATATAGCTGATATGGCAACAGTTAAAAAGCTCCATTATCACTACTGTTGTTACGAGTAAGTCCCTGCCACCCAGCCTTTCACCCCAACTCCACAGCTTCAGTGAGGGGCCCTACTGCCTGTGCCCACAGCAACTGATTGCTCAGTCGTGGCCCGCGGGTGAAGGAAATCAGATGCAGGCCCAGGGGAGAGGCAGGTGAGGCCTGCAGGTGATGGAGTGCAGACCCCGGGCCCAGGGGAGAGGCAGGTGAGGCCTGCAGGTGAAGGAAATCAGATGCAGGCCCAGGGGAGAGGCCGGTGAGGCCTGCAGGTGAAGGAAATCAGATGCAGGCCCAGGGGAGAGGCAGGTGAGGCCTGCAGGTGATGGAGTGCAGACCCCGGGCCCAGGGGAGAGGCAGGTGAGGCCTGCAGGTGAAGGAAATCAGATGCAGGCCCAGGGGAGAGGCAGGTGAGGCCTGCAGGTGATGGAGTGCAGACCCCGGGCCCAGGGGAGACAGGTGAGGCCTGCAGGTGAAGGAAATCAGATGCAGGCCCAGGGGAGAGGCAGGTGAGGCCTGCAGGTGATGGAGTGCAGACCCCGGGCCCAGGGGAGAGGCAGGTGAGGCCTGCAGGTGATGGAGTGCAGACCCCGGGCCCAGGGGAGAGGCAGGTGAGGCCTGCAGGTGATGGAGTGCAGACCCCGGGCCCAGGGGAGAGGCAGGTGAGGCCTGCAGGTGATGGAGTGCAGACCCCGGGCCCAGGGGAGAGGCAGGTGAGGCCTGCAGGTGATGGAGTGCAGACCCCGGGCCCAGGGGAGACAGGTGAGGCCTGCAGGTGATGGAGTGCAGACCCCGGGCCCAGGGGAGACAGGTGAGGCCTGCAGGTGATGGAGTGCAGACCCCGGGCCCAGGGGAGACAGGTGAGGCCTGCAGGTGATGGAGTGCAGACCCCGGGCCCAGGGGAGAGGCAGGTGAGGCCTGCAGGTGATGGAGTGCAGACCCCGGGCCCAGGGGAGACAGGTGAGGCCTGCAGGTGATGGAGTGCAGACCCCGGGCCCAGGGGAGACAGGTGAGGCCTGCAGGTGATGGAGTGCAGACCCCGGGCCCAGGGGAGAGGCAGGTGAGGCCTGCAGGTGATGGAGTGCAGACCCCGGGCCCAGGGGAGAGGCAGGTGAGGCCTGCAGGTGATGGAGTGCAGACCCCGGGCCCAGGGGAGACAGGTGAGGCCTGCAGGTGATGGAGTGCAGACCCCGGGCCCAGGGGAGACAGGTGAGGCCTGCAGGTGATGGAGTGCAGACCCCGGGCCCAGGGGAGAGGCAGGTGAGGCCTGCAGGTGATGGAGTGCAGACCCCGGGCCCAGGGGAGAGGCAGGTGAGGCCTGCAGGTGATGGAGTGCAGACCCCGGGCCCAGGGGAGACAGGTGAGGCCTGCAGGTGATGGAGTGCAGACCCCAGGCCCAGGGGAGACAGGTGAGGCCTGCAGGTGATGGAGTGCAGACCCCGGGCCCAGGGGAGACAGGTGAGGCCTGCAGGTGATGGAGTGCAGACCCCGGGCCCAGGGGAGAGGCAGGTGAGGCCTGCAGGTGATGGAGTGCAGACCCCGGGCCCAGGGGAGAGGCAGGTGAGGCCTGCAGGTGATGGAGTGCAGACCCCGGGCCCAGGGGAGAGGCAGGTGAGGCCTGCAGGTGATGGAGTGCAGACCCCGGGCCCAGGGGAGACAGGTGAGGCCTGCAGGTGATGGAGTGCAGACCCCGGGCCCAGGGGAGACAGGTGAGGCCTGCAGGTGATGGAGTGCAGACCCCGGGCCCAGGGGAGACAGGTGAGGCCTGCAGGTGATGGAGTGCAGACCCCGGGCCCAGGGGAGACAGGTGAGGCCTGCAGGTGATGGAGTGCAGACCCCGGGCCCAGGGGAGACAGGTGAGGCCTGCAGGTGATGGAGTGCAGACCCCGGGCCCAGGGGAGACAGGTGAGGCCTGTAGCCTCCCTTGCCCAGTTGGAAGCTCTTCTGGGATTCCAGCCTCTGAGGGTGCCCACTTCTTGCCTGACCTTGGCCTGATTCTTAGGCCCAGGCCTTGGTGGAACCATGCAAGGGGAGTTTCTTGGGCGCTGAGACTGGCCAATGGAAGCAGCATTAGAGCCCCATCTGCTTGGCACAGCCTCTGTGCACCCCTCCCCGCCAGCTCACGCTCTGAGCATTGGGGTGCTCTCAGAGGGCTTGGGGTGGGCTCCTGTGTCCTCTATTCCAATGCTGCCAGCACAGGCTCTGACTCGGCAGGGCCAGCAGCACCCGTGACGGCTCTCCGGATTCCGGCCTTGGGGGCTTTTAGCCCCTGTTGTACGGGTCGTGGTGAGTTATTTTTCTTACTTGCTAAGCCTGTGCAGTCAGCTGGCCGGCTTAACAAGCAGACGTGGACCCAAGGCCCATTGGTGTGGTGCCGGATTTTGAAATCCCCAGATAATCATGCAATCTGAAGTCGGTGCTGAGGCATAAAGGTGGTTCATCCAGGTTAGCCTAGGTCTCCCAGCCACCTCCCCCAGCAGGGCTGGAGGGGGAGGGGCAGCCGCAGCCGAGGCTGCTGCAGGATCTGCAGGGAGGACAAAAGAAAAGGAGAGAGAGCCAGAGCCCCCACCTCCAGTTGAACAGCCCTGCGTTCTTATTCATTTCAGGCTATTAATTATACAGCCATGATTTAGTGGGCTTCTATTGGCGGATTTGAAGCAAGCAACTTTCAACAAGTACAAATTGATGAGCTATAGGGCAGTGGATCTTATCAAATACCAGGGACCTCCTTCCTGGGGCGTGGTCTGCCTGGGGAGTGCCAGGTGTCCTGCCGGGTGTCTGGAGTTCACACAGCCCCAGCCAAGCCATTAAGGCAGAACCACAAAAGCAGAAAACACCTAGGTTCCTCACCCCCAGCTCAGCTTCTACCGAGTCAGGGACACCCTCCCGAGAGGCCCCATTCGGGACCCTCTGTGCTGTGGCCCTGGAGTCCCACGGGTAGCTTGTCCCGTGCTCACGTGGGTGCTGCAGCCAGGGCTGATGTGCCTGCATGGCTCTGAAACAGCTCCCTGTCTGTTGTTCCTCAGAGACGCTGTATCCCGACGGCTCCAAGGAGATAGTGTTTTCAGACGGGACCGTGAAACGCCTCAGGGACGGTCATGAGGAAACCCTGTTTCCTGATGGGACCACTGTTCAAGTGAGCAGGTCAGCAATGCAAGGGCCCACGGAGGCCAGGCCACCAGCAGCATCTGCCCGCCATGTGGGGTCCCAGGAAACTGAGTGTGGGGCTGCCCGGAGGCAGTGGGAATTCTCCCCACCCTAGCAGGGGACCACAGTGCTGACCCCTCCTTCTCTCTGCAGGGACCCCTCCCTCTGCAGGGACCCCTCCCTCTGTAGTGACCCCTCCCTTTACAGTGATCCCCTCCTTCTTTGCAGTGACCCCTCCCTCTACAGTGACCCTCCCTCTGCAGTGACCCTCCCTCTGCAGTGACCCTCCCTCTACAGTGACCCCTCCTTCTGCAGTGAACCCTCCCTCTGCAGTGACCCTCCCTCTGCAGAGCCCCTCCCTCTACAGTGACCCCTCCCTCTGCCGGGACCCCTCTCTCTGCAGTGACCCTCCCTCTGCAGAGACCCCTCCCTCTGCAGGGACCCCTCCTTCTCTGCAGCCTTGGCCTGTCCCATACATGTCACCCTGTGCTAATACCACAGAGTTCTCTGCGTTCCCACACAGCCATCTCATGGGTCTCAAGCTTGGCCCAGCCCCAGCCCTGGCTCTCCACTCCATTGTGCCTGTAACTGCCGATGTTCCTATCTGCGACCTGGCCATGGGCCTGGGTACTGGCTGCCAGCATCTGGTTTCACGCCCTCGATGCTGCTGTGGCTGGCCCTCTAACCAGCTGTTTCCCTGCAGGAATGGTGACAGGACTGTGCTGCTCAGCAATGGGCAGAGGGAGATCCACACGGCACAGTTCAAGAGGCGGCAATTCCCCGATGGCACGGTGAAGACTGTGTATTACAACGGCTGCCAGGAGACCATATCTGCATCTGGGAGGGTGAGGGTCAAAGACAAGAGTGGACGCACCATCCTGGACCACAAGTAGTGCATGGACGCCGCCTGGTGCCGAAGCCCCAGTACGTGTGTGGCCAGAGCAGGGGGGATTCTGGTGCTGGCCACCTCAGAGACTCTGGAGCCACCTTCCCTCCCCTGGGCTTAGGATTCTGCTTTGCACTGGACGGAAGAGGGGAGGTATACTGCACCCTGACTAGGAAGATGCTCAGGACAGGAGCTGATTGTAAAGCCCTGTCCCCACTCAGCATTGAATCAGCTGTGCCATGTGAAGGCTTTGGAGAGGGGTGGGGCAGGGATCCTGTGACCAGCTCAGAGCTCCGTCCCCTGGCTGCAGGGGTGGATACAGGGGGCAGGGATCTTGCGATTAGTTCCCTCAGCTGTTCATGTCTGAGTGTGTCCCTCAAGGATCCCTGCATCCCAGCACATGTGCCTATGCTCAGTGAACAAGGAGGAGACCTCAGGATTGGGCAGTAACCCAGGGGTCCCACCCTGGCCAGGGGGTGGCATAGTATCCGGCCTGGTGCTACCCAGCGAGGGCTTGACGGCTTTAAACTATTCCTCCCTTGTCTTCCAGGTCTCTTAGAAAATATGAACACGAATTTGCAGCCACAGAATTTTGGTATTAAAAGGTACAGAAGGTCCCAAGACACAGAAGAGGAGCCGTTTCTCAAACATCATGCCAGCAGACGCCGTGTTCTAGGGCAGCAGACACGGCCATAGCAGAGCCGTGATGTGCTGTGCTGCTTGGCATGGAGCAGTCCTAAGGAGAGCCAGAGAATAATGCATTTTCTGGGCTTTGTAGGGAAAAAATCCAGACATTTCCCAAAGTGGCTCTGAACAGACAGGGGCCTGTTCTGTTCTGATAAATGCCCGACAATGGTGGGTTTCCTCATAGGAACCACACATCCCTGCAGACCAGGTTGAGGCTGGAAAGCTGCTCAGGACCCAGTAGGTGGTGGACTGACCATGGCCTTGGTTGTGCTGAATTGGCTTATCCTGACTCATCTAAGGAGATAAGAAGTTGGCCAAGGATGAAGGGCAGGAGGGAGGTGCTGGCTGATCTGAGAGCCAGCTGCAGGCACAAGTGGCTTACCTGGCCACCCTCTGCCAGGTGGCCGCATGCTGGGCAGTTCTGTGCGGTGTGCAGGGCATGGCCTCTGTGACACGCGTGACATGTCAGCACAACCATGTCTCCGGCAGCAGCTTCTTTCAGCCACGTGTACTCATGGCCCCGGGTCCAGGCAGAGTCAGAGGGCGTCAACAGGTGCTCAGGCTGCTGCGGCTTCATGCAGGTTCAGTGACAGAGCTCGGGACTAAGAGAGAGCAAACACCTCAGAGCAGAGAGTCACCCATCTCAGAAGGGAAAGCGGTGCATGGGGGCACCAAGGGGAGTGGGTGGTGCCTGGAGTGGGTGGTGACTGGGGTGGGTGGTGTGGAGTGGGTGGTGTGGAGTGGGTGGTGACTGGAGTGGGTGGTGTGGAGTGGGTGGTGACCGGAGTGGGTGGTGACCGGAGTGGGTGGTGTGGAGTGGGTGGTGTGGAGTGGGTGGTGTGGGGTGGGTGGTGTGGAGTGGGTGGTGTGGAGTGGGTGGTGACTGGAGTGGGTGGTGTGGAGTGGGTGGTGTGGAGTGGGTGGTGTGGGGTGGGTGGTGTGGAGTGGGTGGTGTGGAGTGGGTGGTGACTGGAGTGGGTGGTGTGGAGTGGGTGGTGACTGGAGTGGGTGGTGTGGAGTGGGTGGTGTGGAGTGGGTGGTGTGGAGTGGGTGGTGTGGAGTGGGTGGTGTGGAGTGGGTGGTGACTGGAGTGGGTGGTGTGGAGTGGGTGGTGACTGGAGTGGGTGGTAACTGGAGTGGGTGGTGTGGAGTGGGTGGTGTGGAGTGGGTGGTGTGGAGTGGGTGGTGTGGAGTGGGTGGTGTGGAGTGGGTGGTGTGGTGGGTGGTGGTGGGTGGGTGGTGTGGAGTGGGTGGTGACTGGAGTGGGTGGTGTGGGTGGGTGGTGTGGGTGGGTGGTGGTGGGGTGGGTGGTGTGGGTGGGTGGTGCGGAGTGGGTGGTGTGGGTGGGTGGTGGTGGAGTGGGTGGTGATGGGTGGGTGGTGTGGGTGGGTGGTGTGGGTGGGTGGTGTGGAGTGGGTGGTGTGGGTGGGTGGTGTGGGGTGGGTGGTGGTGGGTGGGTGGTGTGGAGTGGGTGTGTGGGTGTGGTGGTGGTGGGTGGGTGGTGTGGGTGGGTGGTGTGGAGTGGGTGGTGATGGGGTGGGTGGTGTGGAGTGGGTGGTGTGGGTGGGTGGTGGTGTGGAGTGGGTGGTGTGGGTGGGTGGTGTGGAGTGGGTGGTGGTGGGTGGGTGGTGTGGAGTGGGTGGTGTGGAGTGGGTGGTGTGGGTGGGTGGTGGGGTGGGTGGTGTGGGTGGGTGGTGTGGGTGGTGTGGTGGGTGGGTGTGGTGTGGGTGGGTGGTGTGGGTGGGTGGTGTGGGTGGGTGGTGTGGGTGGGTGGTGGTGGGTGGGTGGTGTGGAGTGGGTGGTGTGGGTGGGTGGTGTGGGTGGGTGGTGTGGAGTGGGTGGTGTGGGTGGTGTGGTGTGGGGTGGGTGGTGTGGGTGGGTGGTGTGGAGTGGGTGGTGTGGGGTGGGTGGTGGTGGGTGGGGTGGTGTGGAGTGGGTGGTGTGGGTGGGTGGTGGTGGGTGGGTGGTGTGGAGTGGGTGGTGTGGAGTGGGTGGTGTGGGTGGGTGGTGGTGGGTGGGGGTGTGGGTGGGTGGTGTGGGTGGGTGGTGTGGGTGGGTGGTGTGGAGTGGGTGTTGTGGAGTGGGTGGTGTGGGTGGGTGGTGTGGAGTGGGTGGTGTGGGTGGGTGGTGTGGGTGGGTGGTGTGGAGTGGGTGGTGTGGGTGGGTGGTGTGGAGTGGGTGGTGTGGGTGGGTGGTGTGGGTGGGTGGTGTGGAGTGGGTGGTGTGGGTGGGTGGTGTGGGTGGTGGGTGGTGGGTGGGGTGGTGGTGGGTGGGTGTGTGTGGGTGGGTGGTGTGGAGTGGGTGGTGGTGGGGTGGGTGGTGTGGGTGGGTGGTGGTGGAGTGGGTGGTGTGGGTGGTGGTGTGGGTGGGTGTGGTGGTGGTGTGGTGTGGGTGGGTGGTGTGGGTGGTGTGGGTGGGTGGTGGGGTGGGTGGTGTGGGTGGGTGGTGTGGGTGGGTGGGTGGTGTGGGTGGGTGGTGTGGGTGGGTGGTGTGGGTGGGTGGTGTGGAGTGGGTGGTGGTGGGTGGTGGGTGGTGTGGGTGGGTGGTGTGGGTGGGTGGTGGTGGGTGGGTGGTGTGGGTGGGTGTGGTGGGTGGGTGGTGGTGGGTGGGTGGTGGTGGAGTGGGTGGTGTGGGTGGGTGGTGTGGGTGGGTGGTGTGGGTGGGTGGTGTGGAGTGGGTGGTGTGGGTGGGTGGTGTGGGTGGGTGGTGTGGGTGGGTGTGTGTGGAGTGGGTGGTGACTGGGTGGGTGGTGTGGGGTGGGTGGTGTGGGTGGGTGGTGTGGAGTGGGTGGTGTGGGGTGGGTGGTGGTGGTGTGGGGTGGTGTGGGTGGGTGGTGTGGGGTGGGTGGTGTGGGTGGTGGTGTGGGGTGGGTGGTGTGGGTGGGTGGTGTGGGTGGGTGGTGTGGGTGGGTGGTGTGGGTGGTGTGGTGTGGGTGGGTGTGGTGTGGGTGGGTGGTGTGGGTGGGTGGTGTGGGGTGGGTGGTGTGGGTGGGTGGTGTGGTGTGGGTGGTGTGGGTGGGTGGTGTGGAGTGGGTGGTGTGGGTGGGTGGTGTGGGTGGGTGGTGTGGGGTGGTGGTGTGGGTGGTGGTGTGGGTGGGTGGTGTGGGTGGGTGGTGTGGGTGGGTGGTGTGGGTGGGTGGTGTGGGTGGGTGGTGTGGGTGGGTGGTGTGGGTGGTGGTGGTGGGTGGTGGTGGTGGTGTGGGTGGGTGGTGTGGTGGGTGTGGAGTGGGTGGTGTGGGTGGTGGTGTGGTGTGGGTGGTGTGGGTGGGTGGTGTGGGTGGGTGGTGTGGGTGGGTGGTGTGGGTGGTGGTGTGGGTGGTGTGTGGGTGGGTGGTGTGGGTGGGTGGTGTGGGTGGGTGGTGTGGAGTGGGTGGTGTGGGTGGGTGGTGTGGGGTGGGTGGTGTGGGTGGTGGTGTGGGTGGTGGTGTGGGTGGGTGGTGTGGGTGGGTGGTGTGGGTGGTGGTGTGGGTGGGTGGTGTGGAGTGGGTGGGTGGTGTGGGTGGGTGGTGTGGGTGGTGTGGTGGGTGGTGTGGGTGGTGGGTGGGTGGGTGTGGGTGGTGGTGTGGGTGGGTGGTGGTGGGTGGGTGGTGTGGAGTGGGTGGTGGGAGTGGGTGGTGTGGGTGGGTGGTGTGGTGTGGGTGGTGTGGAGTGGGTGGTGTGGAGTGGGTGGTGTGGAGTGCGTGGTGTGGAGTGGGTGGTGTGGAGTGCGTGGTGTGGAGTGCGTGGTGTGGAGTGGGTGGTGTGGAGTGGGTGGTGACTGGAGTGGGTGGTGTGGAGTGCGTGGTGTGGAGTGCGTGGTGTGGAGTGCGTGGTGACTTGAATAGATGATTTTGTGGATCTGTGTGGTGGGTGACATCCCTGGTTTGTGTTTTTATCTGTGTGGGGGAATAGCACACACGTCAGTGCGCTAAGAAATCTCTCTGGCCACGTGAGAAGTCCATGAAATACTACATTTATTTGTGGTTGAGTCTCTGTTCCCCGCAGGAAGCAGATCTACATGTCACCGTCTCTCCTGCCCCTAAGCCCTGCTGTGACCTGCATGTGACACGCACGATGCCAGACGGCTGTTGGGAGCAAGCATGGCCCACAGCAACGGGCCTGGCCAAGTGTGCAGGGCCAGCTGTGCAGACTCGGACTACACTGACTGCATCGTCACGTGTTCCCCTGGTCTCTGCTGGTGAGGACTGAAGATCCGTCAGAGTGGGTCGGCGGCATGGAGAAGCAAGCTTGCACACCTTCCCTGGCCATCCGGGGCTGTGTACAGCGCCTCCTGCCAGGCCGCCGGCATGCGGCGGCTCTCACATGGCTGTCTGCACTTCCCGCTGCTCCGTGTGGGCCGTGGGCCTGGCAGCTGGCATCCCATCAGGCAGCCTGGCCTCCAAGTGCTCCACTGTCCCGTAGGCCACCATGCTCACAGCGAGCACCCCCAGCAGGACGTAGAGCTTGACGCTGACGCAGAGGGCCGTGCTGTAGCCAAAGGCGATGACGAAGCCCAGGGCCTCACAGAGGCGGTAGCTGGCGAAGGCAGCTTCCTTGTGCTTCTCAAACAGGACTCCATACAGAGCTGCAAGGCAGGTGGGGAGTGAGCGCTGTGAAACCCCGAGGAGCCCGGGAGCTGGTGCTGGGCACAATGCCCTGTGCCCGGCTGACACTGGGTGCCATGTCCCTCGCTCAGCCCACTGTGCCACTCACCTCTTGCTCTTTGAAATGGGGGCTTCACCACCCCCACCCACTGCACTCAGATTTGAGTGGTCTCAAGCCTTCGTTAAAGCTGGGTGCACACCTGCACAGAGGTGCAGGGGGGATTGGTGCTGGCCGGGAAGCCCCCTAACCCTGCAGCACACAGGCCGGCAGCCCCTAGTTCCCAATGCCAAGGTCACTCCTGGCCCCATCTTGAGTCTGATTTGAATCTAAACAGAAGAGTGGCTAAGTGTCACGTTGCAGGAACTCACGGCCAGTGGGGAGGACGGTGACACAAAGTCAGCTAACGTGGCCTTTCAACAACTCAGTCTGCAGAACGGGATGCCAGAGCTGCTGGGGATGTGTGCAGGGGAGCTGGGCCCAAGTGTGCTAATGCACACGGGGGCCGGTGAGAGCTGGGACCTGCTGTGTCCCCTGCACGTGCTGACACAAGCAGAGAAGGAGATGGGCATGCATGGGGCGGGTCACATGTCCGCACACGTGCCCTGCGACCATCCGCGGAGGGCCCAGCCTCAGGAGCCAGGAGCACAGCCCACACCGCGTCTCGGGTTTTTCACACTGATCTCCACTGAAGCAACATGAGGTCCTTGCATGCATGGCTGAGCCTCGGGCTCCAGCAAGGGACACGCAGGGTGTACCTGGGAAAGCCTGCACTGCTGGGCGGCAGGATGGACGCACTGTGAGTCTGTCCCACGGCCAGGTGGAGCTGCCGCGGACAGACTGAGGCCTGATCCGCAAAGCCTAGTGCTCAGAGTGGGTGACATGATGGAGACACCCTCCGAGGAACAGCTGGGCTGGTGTCCGTCAGGGGCAGAACAAGTGAATGTGGAGGAGAAACGCGGGCAGAAGGAATGAGTGAGCAGGATAAAGCTCAGACACTCCACAAGGAGAAAGAGAGCACCCACGTGGCTGCCCCTCGCCTGCAGGGGCACTTGTTCCATCCCCTGACGGCCTGGAGGTTGGAGGTCAGAGGTTGGAGGGCGACCCTTGAGAACTGAAGGTTGAGACGGTAAAGTAGGACGAGTTCCCTCAGGGACCTGGCGGGGGCACGCTGACCAAGTGGCACGTCTGCACACGGCCCTCGGGGGACACCTGACATAAGAGGGTGGGCAGTTGCTTCCCACGGGGCGCTGCCTCCCCAGCCCAGCCCGCAAAGGGCACCGGACACACCCTGAGGCCCGGTGACCTCAGACGCGGGGAGGTGATGGGAAAGAAGGGGTGTCAGGGACAGCTGTCGTGACCTCCTCGGGTACCCTGGCTCCCAGGAGGCATCCTGGGCAGACCACCATGCCAGTGGGAAAGCTGAAGGAGCCATAGCAACTCTGCATGAGGGCTGGGATCAAAGACAGGGTGTCTGGTGCAGTAAGTGTTGAAATCTGGGCCTTGGCTTTGAGGTGCTTGGGTCAAACTGCCTTGTTGCAATGCTGGGCTTATCACTAGAGTGCAAGTTCAAATCCTGGCTGCCTCATTTCCGGCCCAGCTCCCTGCTGATGTGTCCGGGAAAGCAACAGAAGATGGTCCAGAGGCTTGGTGCCCTGCACCCACGTGGGAGACCCGGAGGAATTCAGGCTCTTGGGCATCGTGGTCCTGTGCAGCCTGAGCCAGCGGCTGGAAGATGGCTCTGTCTCTCCCTCCCTTTCTGTCCCTCTGCCTTTCAAATAAGTAAATCTTTGAGGACAGAAATCCGTGCCTGGTTTTGTTTGTTCGTTTATGTCATGCATTATCTGGGAGCTTTCTGGTCACCCCTACGCTCTGGAACCTACTGAGCAAGGATAATTATCTACCTCAGCCTAGGGCTCCAGCTGTACCGGACAGGTCGCGCCAGGGCGTGCTGGGCACAGGCTCTCGGGGAAGGCTTTTGTCAGCTCTGCGCAAACCCGAGAGCACTGTGTGTGCTTGTGAGAGGAAGGCAGCACGGCTCTCGGCTGGCCCCGACCACCTCATCTCCCTGGGTGACAGGGCCAAGTGCTAGAGCTGGCTTCTCACCCCTGAATGAGGGGACACAGAGGCAGGGCACAGGTGGTCCTGTCAGCTGGCAGACAGGGTACCAGGGCATCGTCTGGGAGAGCCCATGGCTAGCTCCTGCCCAGGAACAGCCCCTTGGCCGCACGGGACAGGGCGACCCCAAACCAGCTGGCCTGCGCTGAGGCGGTGCCCTGGTGTGGGGGAGTTGCTGTGGGAACTTTGTCTTTGAACAAAGCGCAAAGTAATTTCCTGTTAGTGCCTCTTTCCCGGCCTCACCAGGTCACTCCACGCTCTGAGGACCTTGCTACCACTGGCGCTGAGGCACCTGCAGCGCAAGCAGGGCCTGGCCGTGTCCCTGGCCCTCTGAGGGAAAGGCAGCTGAGCGGGCGCGCTCCTGCTCCGGGAGGGAGAGCAGGTGTGGCTGACAGCGAGCCATGGTGCAGGGCGCTGGGGGCGGCTCTGAGGCTGCACTTGGAGAAGGCGGGAGAGATCAGACACCCCCTCCGTTTCAGGCTGTGAAACGGGCACTCGAGCAGGCGGGTGAAGTCAGGGATCCTTCGCCGGGCTGGGGAATAACTTACCTGGCACTCGGATTCCCTCTGGCTCCCCGAGGCCCAACCTGGGCAGGGGAGGGGCAGACACACAGGCTCGATTTGGGGGCCACAGAGGCAGCTGTGGTCCTGGGGAGCCCTAAGATGAGGATGACTGAGACTCGGAGCCCATCAGTGGACTGGATAGAGCCCCCTCCCACTATTCACCAGAAGGCCATCTGTGGAAAAGAAGGAAGGACGGCCTGCAGTCCTATCCTGTACACCAAGACACGGCGGGCTGCTCATGCTAAGCAGAGGAAAAGCCAGGTCCTGGGAGGGCATGAGGGCTTCTTCATGGAAACTGCTAGTGTAGTCTCTAATCCTTGAGGGATTCCTGGAGAGGGAGGAGGTGTGAGTGAGGGTGTGTGACAGAGGAAGAGGTGTGAGGGAGGAGGTGTGAGGGAAGAGGAGGTGTGAGGGAGGAGGAGGTGAGGGAGGAGGAGGTGTGAGGGAGGAGGTATGAGATGGAGGAGATTTGAGGAGGAGGTGTGAGGAAGAGGTGTGAGGGAGGTGTGAGGGAGGAGGTGTGAGGGAGGAGGAGGTGAGGGAGGAGGAGGTGTGAGGAGGAGGATGTGTGAGGGAGGAGGTATGAGGTGGAGGAGATTTGAGGAGGAGGTGTGAGGGAGGTGTGAGGGAGGAGGAGGTGTGAGGGAGGAGATGTGAGGGAGGGGGTGTGAGGGAGGAGGAGGTGAAGGAAGAGGAGGTGTGAGGGAGGAGGAGGTGAGGGAGGAGGATGTGTGAGGAAGGAGGTATGAGGTGGAGGAGATTTGAGGAGGAGGTGTGAGGGAGGTGTGAGGGAGGAGGAGGTGTGAGGGAGGAGGTGTGAGGGAGGGGGTGTGAGGGAGGAGGAGGTGAAGGAAGAGGAGGTGTGAGGGAGGAGGAGGTGAGGGAGGAGGATGTGTGAGGAAGGAGGTGTGAGGTGGAGGAGATTTGAGGAGGAGGTGTGAGGGAGGTGTGAGTGAGGAGGAGGTGTGAGGGAGGAGGAGGTGAGGGAGGAGGATGTGTGAGGAAGGAGGTATGAGGTGGAGGAGATTTGAGGAGGAGGTGTGAGGGAGGTGTGAGTGAGGAGGAGGTGTGAGGGAGGAGGAGGTGTGAGGGAGGAGGTGTGAGGGAGGAGGTATGAGGGAGGTATGAGGGAGGAGGAGGTGAGGGAGGATATGTGAGGGAGGAGGAGGTGAGGGAGAAGGAGGTGTGAGGAGGAGGTGTGAGGGAGGAGGTGTGAGGAGGAGGTGTGAGGGAGGGGGTGTGAGGGAGGAGGAGGATGTGTGAGGGAGGAGGTATGAGGTGGAGGAGATTTGAGGAGAAGGTGTGAGGAGGAGGATGTGTATGGTGGAGGAGATGTGAGGTGGTGTTGTGAGTAGGTATGAGGAGGAGTTGTAAGGAGGTGTGAAGGGTCCCAGTGGTATGAGGGAGGAGGAGGTGTGAGGGAAGAGGAGGTGTGAGGAGGAGAAAGAGGTATAAGGAGGAGTTGTACGGAGGTGTGAAGGGGCCCAGTGGTGTGAGGGAGGAGGAGGTATGAGGGAGGAGGAGGTATGTGATGGAGGAGGTGTGAGGTAGAGGAGGTGTGAGGGAGGAAGAGGTGTGAGGAGGAGGTGTGAAGAGGTGGAGGAGGTGTGAGGTGGAGGTGAGAGAGGAAAGTCTCACCTTCATAATGTCCTATAATCTGTGTCCCCTTCTCAGTCATGATTCAATTCATCCAGAGGCACAGAATTGTCCTGGTTAAAACTGTAACACCTCCCGTTTCCAGAGCTTTCCATGGCGTTTTTGGGCACACCGGCAACCGACCCCCATCCTTCTCCTGTTGTCAGCATCCCCCCCCGTCTCAGCATCCGCCATGCACACCTGATTTCCACCCCTACTTCTCCCACACCCAGGGCCCCCCCCACGCCCCTGCCCACCGCCCAGGGAGTTCTGTCACCGACGGTGGGATCCGGGCTCACCGCTGTTCTGGGTCTGCCACACGGCGTCTGCCAGGCCCCAGAGGGCAGCGAAGACAAAGAACAGGGCGCGCTGGCTGGGGTGAGGACTCCACAGCAGGAGGGCCAGGATGCAGGAGACGTGGGCGATGGCACCTGCTCCAGGGGTGGGGGAAGCTGGAGTCACACGGGAAGGTGGCCATGCCGGCCCTCAGCGACCTCTGACCCCACCCCACGGCCTGGAGCCTGCCGTGTCCCAGAGTGTGTCCCCACAGACCCCACAGAGAGCAGGCTCTGTGTTGGCCAGGGTTGCCAACACAGAGAGGAAGAGAGGGAAGCGGAAGGGAGGGGAGAGAGGAGGGAGGGTAGGCAGGAGCGGGAAGGACAGAGGGACAAGAGGAGGGAGGGAAGGAAGAGGGGAGCGGGGGTCAGGGGGCCAGGGAAAGGGCCAGGCTGGAGAGCAGGGGTGGAGGCGGCAGGGACTGCTGAGCTCAAAGGGCTCTGTGCCCCCGCCAAGGCCCCACCCCTCGGGCCTGGAGCTGGGCCTGCAGCCACGGCCGCGTACCAAGCGCGTAGATGGCCACCCTGCCGGTGAACTGCGAGGCCTTCCCGTAGAGCATGGAGCACAGCGCGTCCGTGGCCGAGAAGCAGATCATCACGTAGCCCACGAAGTGGATGCCCAGCGCGCAGGTGATGTAGGACTGCGGAGAAAGCAGCGTCAGGCCAGTCCCCACCCAGCAGCCCTCTTGGCACATGCGTGGGAGCAGGGGGCCATGGCCAGCACGCCATGGTCCTTCCGTCCTTGTCACTCTCGAAGCTGCCCGAGTCTCCACTGGGCTGTGGGTGTGTGGACCAGCAGGAGGATCAGACACCTGTTCCCGTAGAGTCGCTTGTGCCCCTGCGAGTGGCTTCCCTGGAGCTCGGAGTGGCTCATGCCTGCTCCTTCCCCTGCCTGGGCAGCCAAGGTGGCAGCCTGGGCCCAGGCAGCCCTGTGCCCCTGGGGGAGGAGGTCCAGGAGCCTCCAGCTGCCCTGGTGTCATCTGGAAGGACCTGGACTCTGCCAGGCGCCTAGTGCACCTTCCCAGGTGCCTGCTGCACCACACCGGAGGCCCTGAGGCTGTGAACAAGTGAGCCAAGGTCAGCTCAGACTGTGCCAGTCCCAGGTTGACGGCCACGGTGTGTCCAGCAGCCCTGGGCTTCTTTCCCGCAGCGCTCGGGCAGGGGCAGGTGGGCAGCAGCTGCAGGCCATGTGACCTGTGGGCAGGGCCAGGACAGCCCCGAAGCTGTCGAGATGGCCTCACCTGTGTGAGAACCTGCCTGGTGGTACATCAAACATGGCAGGTCAAGGGCACGGGGAGACTCCCCAGGAACCCGGCAAGTGACTCTCAGGAATACAGGCCTGGCCCTTCCCCACGAAGGCCAAGGTCAAGCAAGATGGCACCCTAGTGAGATAAGGGGCTTGTGGGAGTCCAGGGGCTCTCCAAAGTGGGCGTCCTGAATGGGGAGCCCGGCCAGGGCAGGGGGGCGGTGGCAGGAGCCCTGTGCCGCAGTCTGGGCCCAGCCCTGCGGTCCCAGCTCGGCCCCTACCCGGGTGTACTCGCCCGACAGGAAGCCCTGCTGCAGCCCACTGTAGAGAGGCAGCAGGCTCAGCAGACACAGGCGCCTGTCCCGGAAGAGCCCGATGGTGGACAACAAGGTGGACCAGACGGCCGGCGCCTTCTCTCCTCCCTTCTTGGGCTGTTCGTTGTCTATGGGCTCCAGGAAAACGGCTATGAGCAGCACAGCCAGGACCCCGCTCCCTGCAGGGACAGGACAGGGCCACGGGCTGAGGGCCAGGACCCCGCTCCCTGCAGGGACAGGACAGGGCCACGGGCTGAGGGCCAGGACCCCGCTCCCTGCAGGGACAGGACAGGGCCACGGGCTGAGGGCCAGGACCCCGCTCCCTGCAGGGACAGGACAGGGCCACGGGCTGAGGGCCAGGACCCCGCTCCCTGCAGGGACAGGACAGGGCCACGGGCTGAGGGCCACACACAGAGTCCAGTGCCCCCAGCCCCTGGCGGTGCATGTCCAGGTCTAGGATTCCCTGTGGCCTGCGGGCTCTCGGGGTACCTACCCGTGTAGATGCCCAAAAGCGTGTAGATGAGCCCCTGTGAGGGCGGCTGGGTGCTGTTGGTGGATGTGGTGGCCATGAGGCAGTCACGGGCCCCACAGGATGCCAGCTGCTCCTCAGGGACGAGCTCTGGGGGTCGGAGGCGGACGGCACAGAACAGAGAGGTGTGGGGCAGTGCCTGAGACAGGTGCGGAATCGGGCCCCTCTGCCCCCTCTGTCTCCGGACCCCCGGCACACCCCGTGAAAGCTGACATTCACTGTGAGCACCTGCACAGCTATAGCCTAAGCACCCGGCTGGGAAGGCGCTGTCCCCAGGCCAAGGCAGCATTCATGTCCCGGGCAGAGGTGTCATTCGGACACATGCTTCCTGTGGGGGTCAGGATCGTGGCCCTAACGTGTGGCGCTGACACCTAGCCCGAGGGGGGTGAGCTCGGCCAGGCAGAGGGAGGTGGCCTGCCAGGGCACCCCATCCCCGGAGGCGTCTCAACCTCCCTCCCAAGAAGTCCCTGCCTGGTTTGGGGCCAGATGCTCTCCAGCCCCTCCCGCTGGCCCGGGACGAGCAGTGCCCGCACCAGGCTGGAACCTGGCTCTCGGCCCGTGGACAGAACCTTGCCACGTGAGTGTGCAGGCCGTTCTGTGGCCCTCTCCCTGCCCGCCTTCCCCTTACCCCGAGTGGGTGTCTGGCCAAGCACCAGAGAGGAGATCAGGTTGCCCCACACGCCAGACGACTGGAAGATGAGGAAGAAGAGGCCAAAGTACTGGTTCACCACGTCCTTGCTGAGGCGGCCTGTCTTGTCCGCGTGGGCGTGCCCGAGGCTGGTGAGGTAGGAGCCCTGGGCCGACCACAGGGGCGCTGCGCCGAGCCCCAGCAGGATGGAGGTGGGCATCAGCGTGTACCTGCACCAAGGCACACGCAGGCTGCACCCTGTCCCCACCCACGGGCCAGGTCTGTCCTGACTCGTACTCGTGGATGGAGCCCCAGGTCCCTGTGCCATTTTCGACAGCCTCGTGATGTGACTGACTGACTGCCTGTTGGCAGGATGGGCACTGCACAGGCACCCAGGAGAGATGCCAGCAAATCTGCCAGGACCGGTGCGTGCTGGATCACGTGGGGATGCCCCCTGGGCCCACGTGGAGCATGGTGCCCTGGGCCATGACTGGCACCTGGGGAGCTCAGCTCGGGGGAGGCGGCACCAGCTGGCGTGGTTCACTCCCTGCAGGCGGGGCTGAGGCACAGTCTGGCCTGCGGCTCCCAGCCCTGGCTAAATCCCTGAGACTCCCCTCCAAACCAGATTCCCTTTCTGCGGTTACCGGGGATCCCCTGCCACACTGGGATCCAGGGACGGGGTGGGGGTGGAGGTCCAACAGGAGGCTGAGAGCGAGGCCATGGCCATCCCAGCAATGAGGGCACTCTGGTGCAGTGATGGGCCGGGGGGCTGGCTGCATGTGATAGAGCTTGGGGTGGGGCCCCATACCAGCTGGCATAGAAATTGCCCAGTGAGAAGGCCACGTAGCCGCACATGGAGACAGCGATGGTCCACTTGCAGCCCAGGCTTTGGATGAGGACGGGCGGGAGGCACAGGGAGGACAGCAGGACGCCACCGTAGAGCGTGCCGAGCGTGGCCACTCCGAGGCCGGCCTCGCTGTGCAGGCTGCTCTGTGGAGACAGGACCGCGTGCACTGGCATGGGCGGCGGGGCACAGCCGAGGGGTGGGGCAGCAGAAGGGGCCTGAGCGCTGCCTGCCCCAAGGAGGGTGATCTGGAACTTTCTGGCTGTCACTCTAGTCGCTAGGACATGGGGGTGGGAGATCCGGACCTGTCTGGGACTTTGTTCTATCTTCTGCAACTTGCAGGACGCTGCACTTGGGCACCAGGGAGCTCTGCCCCCGGGGGTGCCAGGCAGAGCGGGCGCCACGGCCTGGCAGAGGGCTGCATGCCGCGCACTGCAGCATGGACGGGTCTCACCTCAAAGGCCCGATCATGAAGGTGGGGCCGTTTGCCAAGCGGAGCCCCAGTGCTGACGGTGTGCACTGACTGTGACTGTGTTAGAGTGCCGGGTTCGCATGTGCTGCGTGGGCCAACCCACAGATGAGTACATGAAGACTCCACGTGGGAGAGCTGCTGCGCAGTCCTGTGTGCCATCCACTCACCCGTGGAGACCCCCGAGGACCCTCCCGCCACAGCTCTGCATGACCTCCCGGCTGTCACGCTGAGACCCTGGGGCAGGTGCACATGGGATGGCCAGAGGGTCAGAGGCCTGAAGGCCAAGTGAGTGTGGAAGGGGTGGAGACAAGGCAAGGGCTAGGGTGTGGTGAGGGACTGGGGTAGACACACATCAAGAATATGCCAGCCACAGCAGTGGGCACGTGGGGCACCTGGCCCAGTCCCCAGCTCCCGGACGTGGGGGTCAGGGAGTTGGCACTGGGCTCCGAGGAGCCATTGGAACGGTGGGCAGGAGGCCAGCAGCCACACAGGCCGAGGACAGCACTGCTGAGTGGGGACAAGAGCTTTTGACCCCTGGCAGATGCCTGTTACAGCCAGACGTGCCTGAGCAGGGCAGCGAGCCAGCGAGGCTGTGGGCAGCACGGAGCCCTCTTCTCTCTGCCCAGTGACCCAGCCACCAGCCCACTGGGGGGGAAGGCCGGCCTGCCTGTACTGCCCCAGCCAGCAGGATGTGTTCCCCAGGCTGGCTGGCCACTGGCCCTGCCCATCCACACCCCAGGCTAGGGGAGCAGTCCCTGGGAGCGATCAGAGGCTCCCTGGTTCTCAGGCAGGAGTGGAGCCCACCCCAAGACACCTCCCAGGCTGTGGCAGCCCCGCCCCAGCCTTCCATGGCTCATAGCCAAGGCGAAGCAAAACACTTCATAGTGCAGACACTGCTTTGCCAAAGGTCATGGTTCTACCTGGAGCAGGTGCAGATGGCAGAGGCCCCATGAAGGTGGGCGAATAAGCCACGGCTGGAGCCATGCAAGCCACCAGCACTTCCCCGAGTCACCCACGGACAAGCAGGTTCTCACAGCTCAGTGCCCCAGGCCCGGGGTCTCTCACTAGGGTTGTTCACGCCCTCCAGCTGGCATATGTGTGGGCAGCAGACCCCGACAGAGCACTCACCTGCAAGTTCTGCAGCCCCCCATAGGCTGTGAAGAGCAGCAGGAACCCCAAGGATACCACGAGGACGTTCTTCAGGCCCCGCTCCATCGCGTCAAAGCCAGCGGGCACGCTGCTGCCACGCCCCTGCAGGAGCCTGCCCAGGAGCAGACAGGCGCTGGGCACCGGCAGCCTCACCGGCTAGGAGTGTATTGGTCACCACAGCTGCTCCTGGGTAATGCACATAGATATCAGTGGGGCTGGGAGGCAAAGGCTGCGCCAGGACACAGATCACTCCCAGCAGCTCACATGCCGCACACAATTCCCTGGGCTTTGCTAACAGTGCACGCCCTGTTTGACACCCCGAGATGGAGTTGTCTTCCACACCCCGAGCTGTCGGGGCAGAGTAGACTTGAGTCTTGCAGAGCAAAGCGTAAAGGTTGACTCCCACATAGGAAAACGCTCATCTGTATCAGGCTGAGCTGGTGACCGGAACCCCGTGGAGGCCAAAGTCTCAGAATCCCGGAGGCCTGAACATCTTGGCCAGGTGCCCTCCCGCTCCTGCTGCCGCCCGGTGTGGCTTCCCTGTGCTGTGGGGCAGCACTGTGCCACAAGGGCATCAGACAGCCTGGCCCACTGCAGCCCAGCAAGCACACGCCTGACTCCAGGGCACTGTGGGGCTTCAGGGAGGGAACAGACACTGGCCACATGGACAGCTGAGCTCTGAAACATGGCTCCTGCATCTGAGGGACAGACTTCAATTTTTTAAATAATGTTTACTTATTTATTTGAAAGGCAGAGTTAGAGAGATGCTCTATTTACTGGTTTACTTCCCAAATGGCTGTAATAGCTATGTGGAGGCCACGCCAAAGCCAGAGCTTCTTCCAGGTCTTCCATGCAGATGCAGGAACCCAGGCACTTGGACCATTGTCCACTGCCTTTTCAGATGCACTAGCAGGTAGCTGGATTGGAAGTGGAGCAGCCGGGACTTGAACCAGCACCCTCATGGACTGCCAGCATTCAGATAGCGCTTTACATGCAGTGCCACAATACCTGTCTTGAAGAGCTGAATTCTAAGTTACATTTCATTTCAGTTCATTGAAATTTACTTGACCACGTGCAATGAGCAACTCTGCATTAGAATGGCAGTTCCAAATTTCAAGGCTGGTAAGCATGAAAAACCATTTTCTCATGCAAGTATCAGTACAACTTGGGCATAGCAGATAAAGCCACTGCCTGCAGTCCTGGCATCCCGCATGGGCACCAGTCCAGGGTCCCAGCCGCTCCACTTCCTTCCCACCCCCCGCTAAAGGCCTGGAAAGAGCAGAATACGAACCAGTCAGAAATCTCCTAAGTCCTGTAGCCCAGCTCGGTCCAGGGACACGGGGTTTAGGAAGGAGACACGGGGTTTTGCATGCCGATTCCACACACAGCTTCACATTCAGACCAAGGTGAGAGCAGGTGCCATGCTCCCCTGACGTGTGACACTGTCGTGCACGCCCCGGGCTGGGGGCCCTTCGTGGGGTGACCTCAGGATTCCCGCCACTGCCTGATCCACAGGCTCCTCTTAGGAAAGGGCAGGGTCCGTGGAACAGGAAGAGAATGGCTCTGGGTGCTGGGAAGAGCCCGTGGCACCTGCTGACCACCACCGGCCGTGAACCGGATGCCAGCTGACCTTCAGGGACACACAGTCGGAGAGAATTGTAAGAATGTGGGACACATAGCAAGGAGGGGACATTTTTTTACACAAGTGACTTCCCTTCCACATCCTGGCACCACTTGTCCAGACTCCAGCGGGCAGTGGCTACCTGCAGTGGGCTTGCCCGTGAGGCTTTCCTGGGACCTGCTGGAACCTGCTGCCCTTCCTTCTGATTCGCCTCATCTCACCAGTGCCATGTGCAGCATCTGCCCGCAGGCTGGGGGAGCAGTTTTCTAAAGCTTCAATGCCAGCTCTTTGCAGTCAGCCCACATCTCCCAGCAATCAGTACAGTGGTGCAAAATAAAGCAAAAGCACAAAGCCCCAGCTTAGCCCCGCACTTGCGAGGCCCGCCTGCCTTTCGCTGCCACTGCCCGTCCTCAAATCTGAAAGTTGCTTGACTCTGGCCTGCTCCTCCCACCCCATGTCTCTGCATCCACGTGACAAGCCAGCAGGAGCTCTACAAGTGGTCTGGCCCTCAAAGCAGACCCAGGGTGCAAGTCCCGCTTGCTGTGAGGAGCATGGGGCCACCCCAGGACTCCCGCCTGCTGCCCTTTACGGGGGCCCAGGCCCATCCTCATCAACCTGCACACTCTTGTACTTCAAAGGCTTCGGAGTGAGGCAAGGCGAGCTGTGGGCCCAGAACCCCAGTGACGCATGCACCCGCTGCACAGTCGCAGGGTGTCTCACTGCTCCTCGCCCAGTCCACCTGCTGCCAACGTCTCCTGAGAGGCAACAACAGACGGCCCACAGCCTGGAGCCCTGCCAACACGTGGGAGACCAGGGTGGAGTGCCGGGCTCCTGACGTGTGCCTGGCCTATGCTGCTGTGGCCATCTGGGGAGTGAAGCGGCGGAAGGAATATTTCTCAGTGTGTTTGTCCCTCTCTCTATCACTCTTTCCTTTCAAATAAATCTCTCTTTTCTTTAAAATAAAAAGCTATTTTAATGGCAATGACCTTGAACTCCAACCCTTGAAAGGTCTTCAAAAAGTCCACCCCAAATGGGTATTAACAAGTTACATGTGAATTTCAAGAATTTCAGCCCTAAAGACTCTTTTATTCCACACCCACCTGACTTTGTGCTGTCCCCGTGTGTGTCAGACGGGGAGAGAACAGCCTGCTCTGGACGCCTGAGGACGGCCTGACCTGCAGAGCTGCTCTGCCTGTGGGCAGCAGAGCGAGGAGCCAGGAGCCTGGCTCGGGCCTCCGAAGGCTGGCATCCGACACACAGCCCCTTAACACAAAGGCCACCCCTCAGTGCAAGGCGAGCACCCCTCTGGGATTTGCTCTCCCAACGTGATCACCTCCTGGAGGTCTGAGGAGGAGCCTGTGGGGACGTGGCTGCTGATGGAATGTTCTAGAGAGCCCAGGCCACTGCACAGCATGAACCACATCAGCAGCCACTGGAGGCCAAGAGGCTTCCCAGGTTCTGAGTGCTGTCAGCTCACATTTGAATCAGAAGATCTGAGCCAATGCCATGGCATTGCAAGCTAAACCTCCACCTGGGTCGCCAGCATCCTCTGTGTATACCAGTTCCAGTCACAGTGGCGGGACTTTGGGTCCAGCTCCCTGCTGATGGCCTGGGAATGCAGCAGAGGCCCAAACGCTTGAGCCCTGCACCCGCATGGGAGACCTGGAAGAGGCTCCTGGCTTTGGCCTGGCCCAGCTTTGGCTGTTGCAGCCATTTGGGGAGCAAACCAGTCAACGGGAGATGGGAGATCACACCCCCCTCCCTTTCTCTGTAGCTTTGATTTTCATATTCAAAAAAAATCTTTAAAAACTAATAATGGGGCCCGGCGCGGTGGCACAGTGGTTAAGGTCCTTGCCTTGCACGCCTGGTATCCCATATGGGTGCCGGTTCTATCCCGGCAGCCCCGCTTCCCTTCCAGCTCCCTGCCTGTGGCCCGGGAGAGCAGTCGAGGACAGCCCAAAGCTTTGGGACCCTGCACCCACGTGGGAGACCCGGAAGAGGCTCCTGGCTTCGGATCGACATAGTATCGGCCGTTGCGGCTCACCTGGGGAGTGAGTCATCGGACGGAAGATCTTCCTCTCTGTCTCTCCTCTCTGTATAACCGCCTTTCCAATTAAAAAATAATAAAAATAAATCTTTTTTAAAAAACTAATAATGATTATACTAAATTGTTTGAGGAAAAAAAAACCCGAATCAGAGACTTCCTGCTAAGCAGCCGAGGATCTGCTGCTGATGTGAGAGAAGCCTGGCCACAGCCTGGTCTACACGAAGCTCTCCTGTCGGACTCGGATGGGGTCTCTCGGCCTTTAAATCTGTGCCTTCTTTCCTTCTTTTTTTTGAAGTCTGTCTCATTTTCATTTATTTGAATGGCAAAGAGAGAGCTCTCCTATCTGCTGACACACAACAGCCAGGACTGGGCCCAGGTCTTGCGTGAGTGGCAGGGACCCACTGCCTGCTGCCTCACATGGCACCCAGCAGCAGGAAACCGGATCCAGAGTGGCCGGGACTCCATCCAGGCACACCATGATGCCCTGCTCTGTAGTTAACATGGAAAATGTGTCAACTGTGGAGCCCACGGATAGCTGAGCTGGGCACACAGCTCTCCCGTTGGCAGAACTGGACGGTCTGGCTCTACAGATGCCCAGGGCCCCATGACTCGTGGCACCTGCCAGGGCAGCGTGGTGCAAGGCAGGGAAGCCAAACACTGGAGTGCAGGTAGGAGCTGAGCCGGGCTGTGGGCCAGGTTCTGGGACTGTCCACGAGGTCACTCTGCTTGGGCTGAGCCGCAGTGATGCTAAACGACATGGCAACGTGGGGAGATGGCTGTGTCCCACAGCCCCCCAGAGCTGGAGCGTGCCCCGTATGGCCCCCTTGGTACAGCCCCCCAGAGCTGGGGCATACCCCGTATGGCCCCCTTGGTACAGCCCCCCAGAGCTGGGGCATACCCCGTATGGCCCCCTTGGTACAGCCCCCCAGAGCTGGGGCATACCCCGTATGGCCCCCTTGGTACAGCCCCCCAGAGCTGGAGCGTGCCCCGTATGGCCCCCTTGGTACAGCCCCCCAGAGCTGGAGCGTGCCCCGTATGGCCCCCTTGGTACAGCCCCCCAGAGCTGGGGCATACCCCGTATGGCCCCCTTGGTACAGCCCCCCAGAGCTGGGGCATACCCCGTATGGCCCCCTTGGTACAGCCCCCCAGAGCTGGAGCGTGCCCCGTATGGCCCCCTTGGTACAGCCCCCCAGAGCTGGAGCGTGCCCCGTATGGCCCCCTTGGTACAGCCCCCCAGAGCTGGGGCATACCCCGTATGGCCCCCTTGGTACAGCACTGTGGGGAAACCACTGTGCAGCACCTTTTGGATCCAGCAGCTTTCTTAGGGGAAGTGCTGAAGCTTAAACCAAAGCACAGCCTCATTTGCGTCCCCTGGGCCTGTACTGACAAACTGCCACCTGGCCATGTTCCATGCCAATGTCCGTCTCACACCCCCTGCCCCCAGGCAGCCCTCAA